TATTTGCTGCAAGAAGCTTTTCAACAGCAACAGCAACAGCAACAGCAACAGCAACAGCAGCAGCAGCAGTAGCAGCTCAAATACAGTGCAGTGTCAATAAAAGCAAGAGTATATTGTGTTTAGCATGATCGACACAAGCACTCTCTCACATCCGCATAAGGGTGAATGCATTATGTGTACATATATACACATACAATGTTGTAATTCGTGTAATCGATTACGTATGAATCCGTCCGTCCGTTTGTTCGTTGTAAATAAGCAAGAATGAAACGAAAAATCAATGCTATTTACTTGTGTGAACACAATGACACAAGTCACACATCACTCTGGTCTCGAAACACTCAAGAAAATGTTTCTTTCAATCACAATGTCGAATTTGAAGAAAAAAAAATCGATTATTATTTCGAAATGAAAGGAACAATGTGTTGGTCGCTGTGAAATTGAAAACTAATTAAGACGATGAAAGGATTTTCATGTCAATCACATACAAAACAGAAAAGCCATTATGCAATGTTCGCATTTTCCTCAGTGTGCACAGTTACGATTGATAGACAGTCGTTATTTACATTGGCTTATGTATATATGGGCCCGACATAGCGTACATAGAATGGATCCACTTGAACTGTCGTCGTCTTCGTCATCATCATCATCATCATATGCACGGTTCGTATGCACCTTATACATAGAAACGAGGCGAACGAGCCGCCGACAACGACGACCACGACGACCACGACGTACACACAGCCAGTTATCGTGCGAATGTAGCACGAAGTATGTTATTTTAGCCATGTTCATACTATATTTAGCATATTTGGGTATACGCGCATCGTACAGACGCGACACTACACAAAACCGTTCTATATATTTGATGAGTATATATACATTTAAGTGGAACAACACGAACGTAGTAAAAATTTCGTCGAGTATTGAGTGCGAGAGCAGCGTCGAACGTTGAATCGATGTACTGCTACTACTGCTGTTGTTGTTGTTTCGATCGGGTGTTTGGCATCTGTGTGAAAGAGAGTGCTTGCGATTGCGAGAGTATGTGTCTCCCTGTGTCTCTCTCTCTGTGTGTGTGTGTGTGCGCGTCTACGTATGAGGCGCAGAAATCGGTGTTATGGAGAAAAAACAGCTGATAAATTGTTGTGTCAGAAAGTCTTTGGATAATACATAAGGTGAAACGAGTTGCAACATAGTCGCTTTTTGTCATTGCCCATTCTCGACAGCGGATTCCGTACGTAATTGTTATTGTTGCCGTTGTTGCCGTTGTTATTGCTATATATAAATATATATATATATATATATATATTATTACGATTGCTATTACTGCTGCTGCTGCTGCTGCTGCTGTTGGTGTTGTTGCTGCGGCTGACTTCGATTCACTGTACTTGATAATGCTTACGTTCTTGATTTCGTTTCGAGTATCATGTGCATTGTGTGTATATTTTTACTCTTTGTCCTCATCACACTACGTTCAATTTCATGCCTCTGTTTCCGTTGAAATTCAATGATCGTTCTGATGACTTTTTTATTCACTGTGCTTTGCCTTTTTTTTGCTCTGTATGCTTTTATAATTGATATTGTTATATTGTATGGTTTTGCTGCTGCTGCTGGGGATGGCGTGTGTGGTTGGGTGTATTTGTTGCTACACAATACAACTGATTGATGCCACATATTTACAATTCGTCCGTATTCATTTTGAGAACGTGGGGTATGCCACCTTATAACCTCCTATTTTCTCTTCTTCAAATAATCAGTTTCGTTTTATTTGGTTCTGTGGCCGTGCCGTTCACTGTTCAACACACCAAGTTTTTTTTTTCTTCATGCATACATTATATGTGTCTCTATGTATGTGTATAGCGTACTTTCGTTCCGCGTATTCATACAATTTCGCATCCTTACTTGATTTATTGCACTGAAATTGAATGCAATTGTTACATCGCGAATATGAACTAATAAATTCTTATAATTGCTCGGTAAAATATTTTCTTCGTTTCGCAGGTTATTTTGTATGGCGATTTTTCCAACATTGCTGCTACTGTTACTGCACTGGTATCGCCGCTGCTACTATTCAGTGTAAGCAGCTTTCGTTCGTTCATTTGATCGCATTTTCCCCATCTGCAATTACGTTATTTATTCAACTCATTGCATTTTTGGTTCGTTCCGAAAAATGGACATTCATATTTGATTATGTTTGCCAATTTTCCAAACTTTATTACCTTTTTTTTACTTGTCCGTTCACTCACTCACTTACTCACTTGGTCGGTCGTTCGTTCGCTCTCTCCGCATTACCGCTATCGCCATTCATTTCCGAATAAGTTTGTTTTTTGTACGCCATTTATTTTTATACTTACTGCAGTAAGTTGATGTGTACTTCTTCTGCTTTTTTTTATTTTATATGGTCTCATAATTATTTCGACGAATCATCTGCCAGTATTTTATACGCTGATTCTTCGATATTTTACAGGTTTTGTAGCCGTACGCTGTAGCTGTTTCGTTTAATATCACTAATTTTGCTCTTTTTTTTATCTACGTCGAAGTGGTTTGGGGCTTTTTTTGTTGTTGCGAATTTAGCCATAAGTTGCTAGATCATAGCAAAAATTATCAGCTTCTCGATCTGAACACAAAAAAAACTTCTTTTAATTTGTTTGTTCGTTTCTTTCTTTCGATTGTCGTTGTTCTGCTTTTTTTTCGTATGCACAAACGGAATATTACCATTTATTCAACTTGAGAGCCTTGATATTTTTGCATGCACCAAAAATGAAGTAAAATCACCCATGAACATTAAGTCAAAACATACACATTATTATTTAATTGCAATTTTACGATTTGATCGCTTTATTGGCTTTGAACTGTGCTCATAACAGTACATGGTCATTTGGTATTTGGTACGATTGTAACACATACATTAGAATTATTTGTTTCATTCGACTTTGTGATTAAATTGGAAAGAGAAAAGAAGAGTAAAAAAAAAATGCTCGTGTATAGCATATTAACGGAATAGAAGAAAAAAATGAACCAAATCGAGTTTTAATTTGCCCCAAACGGCATAGAAGCTCAATTGGCCAAAAATTTATTCGTCATCGATAGCGGCAGCAGTGTTGGCGGCATCATGAAACGCGATGATGCAAATGCAATTCAGTTTACCAACGTTTCTCTCTCGTCAATGCGTGAGATCTCTCACTCGTGGGCTAATGCAAGTGCAATGAGATTAACTGAATATACCATAAATATGTACGGAGGAGAGAAAAAAAAGCCTCAACGGAACGAGGAAAATTACATGTGGCATAAAAAAGTAGGAAAAAAATAAATATATTTATATATGAGTGTGAAACACTAGTGTAATGTGCCGTTCGCGTCGCTCATCATAATTTCAATAAATGGATGGCACCAACACTTGATGCCACCAGAAAACGGCAATCATCATTAGCGCATATATCAATTTTCATAAAAAAAATTCTCTTCTTTCTCCTCTGTGCTGTGTCCGTTCTGTTTTATTCTTGTTCCTACTGCTAGCTGTTGCTGTTACTGTTTTGCCATTCAACGCTGTTTTTTGTTGTTGTTGCTCTCGTTGCTGCTGCTGTTGTAGTAGTTTGTTCTCATGCGACTATAGATCTTTGCTAAAATTACACTGATAAACTGATACCAATAAATGGTGTACGCTCTTTTTTCTACTCTCTTCAGTGTGCTTGATGGATGCGACATTCTCGTTCAAAGCTCATTGCATACACACGCATTCATTCGCTATGCATGGTATTCTTTCTCACTGTGTGCCTCGCACTCACTCGGTGTGTGCGTTTATTATAAATTTGTGGCTGATGAACACAAGCCAAATGGATATTTTTCATTAAAACAAATTTATAATTCATGATGGAATTTTTATTAGAGTCATATAAAATGTGAGCACGCTCGTTTTGGCTATGGCTGCTGCGTTCGCTATAAAAACAGGAAACTCTCCCTCTCTCTCTCCTTCTCTCTGTCTCTCCCGCACAGGCAACAACAGCTACAGCAGCAGCAAATAACATTCTCGGCCCAGCTCTCAGGCGGCGAGATGCAGAGAAAATAAGAGAATGTTACATAGTTTTGTGTGGACATGCCATGCTATGCCATCCATACGGTTTTATTTAGTTAGCTTCAGTTTTCTGAGTGCGATTCCGTTGCATATAAAACATTAAAATAAAATTAACGACGCTCCACTCGCATCTCTCACTCTAACTCTAACTCCTTCACTCCACTGGGTGTGTGTATGTGCTGTGGGCACATACGGAGGAGGATGCGTGACACTCTTGTCCCTTCCTGGGGCTTGGTCGTCATCATGACGACAATATGCACAACATAATTGGCCGTAATACATTTATATTTCGTAAATACGCTTCCAGATACACTCGAAAGCAGAACAACCACCCGTAATGAAAGCCATGCCAAAGAGCGATATAAACTCAAAGTGCTCGGGCCATATAACGGTCGCACACCAACAGCAAACATTTGCCGATCGATTCAATTTGCCCGTTAAAAAAATCTTCGCCAGCACTTTTATTGATGCTTTTCATGTGCTGAACCAATCCAAGTCCAGCCAAGTCAAGTCAAGACAATACACGCACACTTTGTCGCACTTTTGCTGCAATACCACATAGTTTGCATAATTTTTTTTTCGTCCCCATTTTCTATCTCCCCTACCAAATAATGAATTTCGAGAAATAGTCGATAATCATTTTTTTCCCCGTCAAATTCGTGTTCAATTTCAAAATGGCACTAGAAATTCGCGGAAATTGCATGTGACGACACATTTCATGCAAATCAAATTAGTCGAGCACTAATTGACAGCTTGAATTAAGTTCCCTTCGAAGAAATTAAAATGAGTTTTCAAAAATCACGCCAACCATTTTCAACACTGAAACCGAGCAACAACTGGTGAATATAAAACAGAAAAACGGTGGATATTCAACAAAGGCGGCGCTGCGTACATATTCACCATTGTCAAAGCCTTTTGCATGCGCTTCACTTCAACTGTCAAACAAAAGCATAACATTCGATTTCGTGCCGATGCCAAAAGACCGAGTTTCGAACGTTGTGTGAAATTCAGAGCGGATTTTTCGGGCATTTTTTTTTAGTATTATTTTGTTCGAAAATTACTTTCTAACCACCAAAACAACATGGATGATGAAGCTGAAACTTACAAATTGTGGAGAATCCGCAAAACTGTTATGCAGGTATGTTATTGAAGTTGTGTGTCCAGTAACTAACCTTAAAAAATGTGACAATGTGAATTTTTTTGCGCGTAAAGCATTACAATTTTTTTCATAAAAAAATTTGGTTTACTTGAGGAAAACTACGATAATCAATTTTCCAATTTTAGTTGAGCCATGACCGAGGCTATCTCGTAACGCAAGATGAATTGGATCAAACGTTGGAACAATTCAAAGAGCAATTCGGTGATAAACCAAGGTAAGTGCTTGCGATCACATTTTATCGTCGGCAAGACACAATTTTTCAAATCTCGCCCTCATTTTCTCTTTTTGATAGTGAAAAGCGTCCAGCTCGTTCGGATTTGATTGTGTTGGTGGCTCACAACGATGATCCAACGGATCAAATGTTTGTTTTCTTCCCGGAAGAGCCGAAAATTGGCATCAAGACCATTAAAACCTATTGTACTCGAATGCAAGAAGAGAATATTCACCGGGCCATTGTTGTCGTACAACAGGGCATGACACCATCGGCTAAGCAATCTCTCGTCGACATGGCACCCAAATATATTCTAGAACAATTTTTGGAATCTGAACTACTTATCAACATTACCGAACACGAATTGGTGCCCGAGCATGTGGTGATGACACCCGAAGAGAAGCAAGAACTGTTGGCCCGTTATAAATTGAAAGAAAACATGTTGATGCGTATCCAAGCTGGTGATCCGGTGGCACGATACTTTGGCTTGAAACGTGGTCAAGTTGTAAAAATTATTCGACCATCCGAAACAGCCGGTCGCTATATTTCCTATCGTTTAGTGTGCTAATTCTGTTTTTTTTTCATACGATACAAGACCATTTTTTTCATAGACTCGATTCGATTTAAGATTAAACATTACCGATATTGTCGTCTTTCTTTGATGAAATAAAACGATTCAAGAGATTTAAGAACAGAATTGTATTTTTTTATTTTCAATGGAAAACTTGAACAGGTTGAGTTAACTGGAAAATTCATAGAAAAGATCTGAACTGAACTGAACAGATTGTATTGACATTTCAGATTTTGGTGAAATTCGGTTCGGCATAAGAGTTATAAAAGAAAACCATAATATTCGGAAAGAATTTCATTGAGAAAATCAATTGAATTGAAAAAATGAGAAAAGCCTTTGTAAAATGAAAAGAAAGGATTTTTAAACTAAATCGATTGCTTGTTGAACGAATCAGTTTTTATTCCAATGACTTCAGTGAAAAGTTGAAGCTCGCAATTGGCTACTTGTTACTAACTCACACATTGTGCCATTTTTGAGGTTATGTCAACTGTTGTGTGCGAATTCAATGAAAAATCTAATGAGATTTCATTGCACATGGTAAAATCATCGACGTTTCGTTTCTCTCAAGCTAAAATTGAATTTGTAAATAAAATAAAACGCAGTTGATTTTTTGTCATTTTTTCCCTTTTTAATTAAAAAACAATGTGTTTCTTAACAGAGTACACTTAATAACTTGTACATCGATCTGGACTGGTCGATAAATTTGTGTATTTATTCTGAAGGGATTTCAATAGCGCCATCATTGATGTCATCAATGATGTCGTGTGGTGGACGTCCATCAACGGTGCAGCCGATGTTTTGGGCAGTACCCAAGATTTCTTTGGCGGTTCCGCTCAATTCACGGGCCATTGAACGTGGTCGCAATGTGCGGGCAATGCTTATAATGTCATCCAATGAGATGTTGCCATTGTGCTTAACTGCAACGAGAAAAATGGAGAGAAGAAGGCATTAGAAAATGTGGAAATTTGAGGTAATAGAGTTATTAGCTACACAGTGTTTTCATAAATATAGTTCATTCGACGACATCATTTGTAATTGAGTGTTCAAATCGATCTCTGTTCAAACATGCACTTTGATGTATTATTCGGTTATGAACACTGGTGGATTTTTGCACATGTTCCCATAGAAATAAATCGATGAAATGTGATCAACTTACCGTTCTTGACCTTCTTTCTGTCACGTGGTGGTTCTTTCAATGCCTTGATGATAAGTGAGGCAGCTGATGGAACAACTGAGATGGTGGCTTGACGATTTTGGATGGTCAAGCACACGGTGATTTTAAGACCTTTCCAGTCACCGGTTGCCTTGGCAATGTCATCACCAATTTTCTTTGGGGACTGTGGAACGAAAAAAATGAACACACAACAAAATTCCAATTAGCTTTATTTTCGTGGCATTTTTTTTTGCACGCATTTCCACACACTTGTCACACATCACTTGCAAATGTCATCCAACACGCGCTTTTTTTTGCGAATAAACGAATTAACGAAAACTTGAACTTACCAAACCCAATGGACCGATTTTTGGAGCCAATGATGAGGTGGCACCGACTTCGCCTCCAACACAACGGAGGTATACTAAATACGAACAGAAGAAACAAGCGGAACTATTAATTTTATGCACTCGTTTAACAGCAACATAACCAAACCTCCCATAGGTATGGTAGTTGGTTTTTGCATAAAAATTTCATCCATCCTCATTCGCGGCGGCACAATTTCCGAGCGTAAATTCACGAATCTCCCTACACTTACCCTTCTTAACTTCAGTTGGGTCAAACTTTGGTGGCATTTTTATTTAATTTAAAACGATTTAATCGTTGCGATGACAAAGGATGATTAAGATTTTTTACGATTTTCGGCGAGAACGAATCCGCGATCGAACTTATTGCATCGACGTGCGATGTTGAAAAGAATGATGGACGATTCGAATTTGACGTTTAAGCGTTGAACGTTCAAATGTGTCAATGTGCTCGCTCAAACACTTTCACACATTCAAAATATCGGTCAAACAGATGTGGTGATGTCGGTTGCGTAGATTTTTCTTCTTCTTTTGAATGAATATTTATTTCCATCAAATTATCTCACACGGTTTGTTTACTTCAATTAATTGATGAAAATCGAAATTGGAAAAGTCAATTTTTGCTAGATTTTTTTTCGAATCAATTTCGAAACAGCACAACTGAGTTTTTTTGCGAGATCAAGAGAGGATGCCAAGTGTCAACGAATGATCTTGTGTATCCTATACAAACATAGACCGGCTATGATTATACACTAAAGATGAATACACATTTTGTTGCTGTTGTTGTTGCTATGTTTCTCATACAGACGCACACGTCCATTCACATGAATAACACTTGGACTCTCTCTCTCTCTCTCTCTCGCGCCGCTTTTACACACATTCAAATATCGGGTAGCGCAAATCGTCGTTCAAGAGCACATCAAATGGGCACTTGTCAAAATTTAATTAGAGACTAGGAAACGACGAACGAAAGAGAGCGGAGAAAACTATATGTAAAATATCTATACATACACGGAACATTTGAAAACACTTCCCTTTTTAGTTTGATCATTTTGTTCACGCTCACTTTTCATTTCTTATTTTTTCTGTGTATCGTTTGGTTTCGGTTTCGATTCGATTTTTTTGTTGTTGTGTATGGTGATTTATGGGTTTAAAATTTTCAGTTTCGTAATTTAATCAATATCGAGTGTTTCGAACTAATATCGGTTTTTTTTTTGTTCGTTTCGTCTGTATTTCAGTTCATATGAACTCAATCACTCGAAGTGGTTTGAATACGGCAGAATATGTCGAAATATTTGAATGGTTCATTGAAACGACCACTTAGTTTAGTATGCAAAAGTGTTTGATCTTTGGTGTTTCCGTGACATTTGAATAGCATCAAAAGAGAGAAGAAGAAAACAATTCGTTTGGTTGACCATCAAATTTCTTGTTGCATTGAACACGAAATTTTGTGTACAATTATTTATTTTTTCTCGCCGAGCATCACATCCATAACCAGTGTGCCAATTAAAAAGACGGCGCATTGTTTCGCCGCACAAGTGAAGAAAAAAGAGAGAGAGAAGAGAGTGATTTATTGCAGAAAATTTAGAGAAATCGTCCCACAAATCGCATAAAATTCAAATGGTGAACAACGACAACGAACTGGACCATTGCTCAAAAGATGCATTAACTGGTTTCCTGGGGCTGGTGCTGCAAGCCGTCTTAGCTGGTTTAGCTTTCACATGCCTAATTGGTACGAAACCTAATGCTAGTTTCACACTTTTTTCCGTTTCTTTCTTCTTAGTTTCTCTTATCTTATTGGCCAATACAAATTGCTGTGCGAATCGAATAAAACTAACAACAACTGATGACGACGTGTGTAATCAGTAATTGAAAACACATTAAATACACATTGAACGTTGATCGATTGATTGATCTGCGTAATTTAAATTGAGCGCGCGCGTGTGTCTGTCTGTGTGTGTGCTGCGCAAAAAGAAAAAAAAACGATCATTTCGATGATTCAAAGTTGATGATGTGTTTTAATGCGTGATTTTCGTTTTTTTTTGGGTATTATTTTAGCGAAGAGATTTCGTGAGCCGCCCGGAGTTCGTCGACCATGGCAAGTGTGGTGGTACGATACATCGAAACAGGGCATCGGCGCGATTGTAATCCATTTGACCAATGTCTATCTGGCAAAACTGTTTCAGGGTGATCCATGCACTTGGTACGTGATCAATTTCCTATTAGACTCAACCATAGGACTGTTGATTGTGTTCATTGGTATTCGATTGTGTCAATTTCTTGCGTTTTACAAAAAATGGCCAGCCATCAATTTTGGCGTTTATGGTAAGAATTCCACCCATTTTTAGTTTCATTCATGATTTTATCACAGGCTCAACTTAATTTCAAATCTTTCTTCGGTATATTTCAGATGCGCCAAAATCATGGATATATCAAACATGTATTTACATTGGCCTTATGGCCTTGGTGAAAATAGCGACAACATTGTTCATACAATGGAAATTTTGGGAAGGTGTCAAGAACCTGGTGCTGTCACCATTTTCAAATGCAACTCTTGAAATAACGCTGGTCATGCTGGTGATTCCGTTCTTTGTGAATCTACTCATATTCTGGGTGACGGACAATTTTTTGATGCGACACGATCATCAACAGCACAAACGTTCATTTCTCATCAACTATGTGAGCAAATTGAACAAACACCAGACGAATGGATTTACGAATGGCACCAACGCACCGCAATATGCCAACGGCAACGGATCCCTAAATGCAAACGGTAAATTTGGACAAAGCAATCTATTTGAACGTGCCAAACTCTATTGTCCCAATAGGCTCGATATTATTGATAGTAGTTATAGTAAATTTGACCAAATTGATAAACCAACCACACGTAGATATAATGAATTAATTGATAATGATTCTGAATCGGATGCCCTCCTTACAGGCGATGAACGCTTTGATGTTGAATTCACCGACGATGATTGCGTTGCATTGGAGCCACGCGATCCTCGACTGAATTTGTAGTGAACGAAATAGAAATTAACGCATTACCATTATCAAATCTCATCTCAACAACACACACACTCATCCACAAACACACATCACTCACAGCTCAAATCTAACCAACGCCCACAAAAAAACATGACCATAGCATACATATCCTCAGACAGACGGAGAAGCAAAACAAAGGGGCCGATAATTCACTTTTGAGACCATTGAACGCTGAACTCATTTCGCTAAATGCGCATCATTTTGGCATCGAAACACAAATCACCACATGGAAAATATCGTTTTGAAATTGGAAATTGGGAAAACACATTTTCACACTCGAAGAAAAGATTTTTCGCAAATTACGGGCCATTTTTAAAATGCGCTAATGATCCTTATGTAATATTTCAACAAAAAGCAATTACAAAGCCAAAGACCGAAAAAAAAAATTGCAAATAAAACGAAAAAATGCGATTGCGTGAAGAACGGCAATTATCAGAAGAAGAGTTAAGACAACGATCATGATTATAAAATGAAATTTGTATAAATCATGATTATACTTTGTTGGAATACTATATGACGCTATTATTAACTAATCTTTATTGTGTATGTATCGTAAAAATGCCCCAAATATGCGTGCAATTTTATCTGGTAAAAAAAAACGATAAAAAAAGGTTCGTTAATTTGCCGGAGAAATTTCGTAGGCTTGAATAGGTTTCATGTATTCAAAACTATTTTTTTTTTTACATTTTTGTTCTATGTAATGTATTGAATCACACGTCTACAGTTTCATTTAAATGTTAAATGTTGAAGACTGTCCGAACTGTTGGGTCCCCCATATATGCGAGAGCTAACCATCATAATATCAACTTCATGCATTTTTGCCATCAAACACTACAAATTAGATTAATCTAATGCTTAATTAATTCCATAAATATCTATTCATTTTTTTCGGTTCTGCTGTTCATTTGTTCAGTACTGTTACACTTAACTAGAGAGAATAATAATTGTTTTGATAAATTATTTGTTAAATGAGAACAAAACAATTTCACGTATTAGCTTTGGATCGCCTCTTTTGTGTCATGTAAACACTCCCAAAAATCAGCCATATCCGTTATTAATATACCTTGTAGTAAACGCGTTCATAGTGTTTCACTGTAGTAGCAAAGTATCCTATTAAATTCCACTGTGGTATTACTACAAGAAAATTTAATAGGATACACCGCTACTACAGTGAAACACTATGAACGCGTTTACTACAAGGTATATTAATAACAGATATGGCTGATTTTCGAGAGTGAACGGGATAGAAAAATCATACAGTTGTTCGTTTTTTTTTGTATGAAAGAAAATGGTATCTCTTAGGCGCTAAAATGACCTTATGATTAGAATTCAAACTTTACTTAAAACGGATGAAAAATGCAGCTGTAACGCAAGAAAAAATCAGTGAGATTGTTGGAAAAAAATTTGAATTCAGTATGAATTAGAAGGAAAAAGAAAAAAATGTTAAAGTGGAATGGAAGACAAAATATGCCGTGCCAATTAGAAATGATGCAAATTACTTTTAATTGACATGTGTCGATATATATCGGCATAGATACACGGTATCGCGTGGGTTAATATTGAAAATGTTAAATTATAATATTGAGATTTAAATGGCTGTGTGCTGATTTTAAGGTAGAAAACAAAATAACAGGAAAAGAATGTTTTGTTGTTTTTTTTTGTAATTTTAGTCTTTTTTACATCACATTTGTATACCGATTTATACCAAGAGAAATGCAAATTTACATCGAAAAAACAAAATTTACATCGAAGTAATGTGCCCAAATATTTAGATAAATTAAAAAAAAAATCTACCTGAATGATACTTCCAAGATCCCTCTTTTTTCCTGAAAAACTTCCTTAACGTCAGTTTTTAAAACTATTTGTTAAATAATAAGAGATGTAGATACTTTATAGGAAATTTTTTTTAATAGTATAATAATGAAAAACCTAATCATAAGTAAAGAATAAACTTTTTCACACAAAAAAATTATCTTTATCACAAAGATAAATTCCATTGTGGTTAGAAATTGCGGATATTTTTGTATAAACTGGGAATTTTGTAGAATCGTGCAAAAAAAAAGCAATAAAAAGAATTGTTAGATAAAAAAAGGAAGCAGCAAATGTTTGGTATTGCTTAATGTGTTGCGTGATTTCTGTGAATTGATTTGGAAACCAGTTTTTTTTTTCTCCTACGAACACTTGACAAAATATGCAAGTATCTGCAGTTCTACGAAAGCTGACCCATAAAGTGACAACGAAATTCTCATTTTCTTTCTTCCCACTTGTTCTTTTTCTTGTCCTAAGTTCAGGGCTATCTCTTCGATCTCTGGCTCTTACACTCGCTCTCACCATCTTCTTGGCGAAGCATTAAGATAAAGCGCAAAAATCTTCTTAGTTAGAAAAAAAAATGTCATCTGGTCGAACAGAACCAGAAAAAAATTGTGCAACGCAAAAGAAGAGAACTGTGTTTATAACGTGAAATTGCATAAAAACCAGATGGATTGGCCAACTCATCTTGATGCTAAACCAGTTGACGGCGCGATTCTATTTTCAAATACATCAAGGTATATATTATGAAAAAACATGAACCGAACATCACACACCATATAATATACACGACGCTTGCTAACAACAATATATTGTTGTGGTGTTCCCAACCGAATGCGGTGGAAATAAACATCGAAAATCACAAAGCGAAACATGTTAACTACCAACACGTATGCAGTATACACACGGCGACGATCATCATTTACTGCGTTGCTATTTTATGAATGAAGAGTTTAGTTGGCATCTTGCTATCGCACATTGAACTTGAGCATTACTATTCCTCTGGCGTTTGATACAACGAACCATCGTGTGAAATTTTTCTCTTGCTGGGTGAAACAGTCTTGAGTGGTTAACAGTGAATTTTGTTTGAGGAAAAACAAAATCATCATCTTTAAATTGGTAAGCATATTAAGTCATTGGAAAAACACAAAAAAAAAATTCAATACATTAGAATCGATATTTTCATTATTACGTCGTTCAAGAATAGTGTTGAAAAAGAAGTGTGCAAAAAGCCTAAGAGCTACGTGGAAACCCAAAAGAGAAAGAACGAACAATGTTGCAGATCAAATTAGCACTTGTTCTAAAACTGTCAGTTCATATATCCCTACTGATTGACTTAAATAGTTTGCAGCAGACAACACATACATGAATAAAGTGAAGTAACCGTGTTTAGAACATAAAGCTATACACAAATCTTCTTTCTCCATAGTTTACTCAATTATTCTATGATTCGCATCACGTACGTGTTGTGCTCTTTAAAATTATGTAAATAAATTTCGGTAAACGTTTCCATGAAGAAGAAGTCTCGGTTTCTATTGTTGATTTCTGTTACTAATCTATCTTACGTATTCTAATGATAAAATTCCATAAACCGGTTTTTTTTGTTTGTCGTTTGACACATTTTTTTTTCTATTCGCATGCATAGTTGGTTGTTGGTAGTGTGTTGATTCCTGTGAATGAGCCGGTACGATCGGAATAGATGGAAAAAGGTGTTAGTCGATAATAATCGTTTGTTACGTTCGGTTACACAGTTGTCATCTTGAGTTGGTGTTAAAAGGGTGAAATGGCTTCAACGAATGGAAAAACGGTTCTTGTGACAGGCGGCGCCGGTTACATTGGATCACATTGTGTTGTCACATTACAAGAGGCTGGCTATGAAGTTATTGCACTGGATAACTTTGCTAATTCGGTGGATGATGGTTACGATGGATCGCTTGCGCTGAAACGTGTCGAAAAAATCACCGGCACACCGGTCAAATTCTACAAATGCGATCTACTTGACACCGTACAATTGGAAAAAATCTTTGAAAATGTAAGTTGAACGTGTGTTCAAGGCTGCCATTAAATCTTTTGATGACTTATTTGATTTTTTTATGTGAATATATTCAACTATGAATTGTTTGTTTGTTCTGTATTTAGCACAAAATTGATTCGGTCATTCATTTTGCCGCAATGAAGGCCGTTGGTGAATCGATGCAGTATCCAATGTTGTACTACAAAAACAACATAATTGGCATGATCAATTTGTTGGAAATCATGAAAAAGTACAACATTTACAATTTGGTATTTTCGAGCTCGTGCACGGTCTATGGTGAACCGGAGGAATTACCGATTACCGAAGAAAAGCGAATTGGCCAGAGCATCACAAATGTATATGGTCGCACCAAATTTTTCATTGAAGAAATTTTGAAAGATGTCACACATTCGGAGGATAAATGGAATATCATTGCGTTGCGTTATTTTAATCCGGTCGGTGCACATGAGTCCGGTCTCATCGGCGAAGATCCAACCAAACAGTTTACAAATTTAATGCCGTTCATTAGTCAAGTGGCAGCGGGCAAAAAAGACTCACTCACCATTTTTGGCAATGATTATGACACACCAGACGGTACCGGCATTCGTGATTACATTCATGTCATGGATTTGGCCACTGGGTAAATATATATTCAATTTGGAAAGAAAAAACAGAATTGACCCAAAAAAATTAACCTGAAATATTCTCATTCCTCGTGTTCAATTTATTTCGCTTGAATGTCACAACAAATGGCAATAAATTTTTAATCTTTTTTTTCTAGTCACGTCGCCGCCTTGCACAAACTCGAAAAATCACACATTAAAATTAAGGTAAGCATCGTCGTCTAAATGCAAACAAATTTATTCATTTTTTCTGCTTCATCTCTTGGTTTGAATATATTATTGGAAAAAAGTCTTAATACTCAAAATTCTATAATAATTACTATATCTGACTGATCAGATTAAAATCAAAAATGTTTCAATCAATAGACGAAATTAGCTTCAAATCAATGGAAAAGTTGCAAATCTGAACAATTTCCTCTTGTTGCAGGCCTATAATTTGGGTACAGGTCGCGGTGTCTCTGTCTTGAACCTCATCAACACCTTTGAGAAAACAAATAACGTATCAGTTCCGTATACATTCGAGGCTCGCCGTGCAGGCGATATTTCAACGATGTATGCCGATCCGTAAGTGACCATTTTTTCCATTACCTATCGTTTTAATTGTTATATTGATTGACAAAATCTAATAAATAATAAAAACTTGAACAAAATTCGAATTGATTCATGAGATGAAGTAATTTTCCGTTTCTTTTGATATCCTGCAGTTCTTTGGCCGAACGTGAGCTTGGATGGAAGGCGAATCGTTCGCTTGAACAGATGTGTTCCGATTTCTGGCGATGGCAAAAGATGAATCCAGTCGGCTACAAAACGGTGCTCACAAATGGCCACAGCCACTAAGCGTCACCACTCTTCACTGCAACATTTTCTTTTTAAATTCGCAATGCATTCGATTTATTCACGTGTTTACATGTTTGTCTTATGGAATAATTGTAAATTTTGTAGTTTTAACACCTCCAAACCGATCGATGTACAATTCGGTAATAAATATCTGGCGAATAGCTCCAAGCATGACACTTCGTCGGCCGACTTAGTAAAGTATGGTATAAATAGATCTGAAAGAGTAAATTATAAATGCGATGATTAATAAAGTAAGATATAGTACATTTTCATTTAAATTGACACAAATTTCTTTTTCACACCTTGAAGTGGTGGCTTGTGCGAGTGAATCGAACTTGGTACACTGAATATCATCCGTTCGTTGGGGATATTGAAGTCGTGTGTGTTGTCTTTGTGACAGGCAATGAAAAGTCGCTCAAATGGTTGTTTCTTCAGTGGCAAATCGAAATCACAAATTGGCTCGCCGTATTTGGTGATCTATGGAGGAAAATGAAAGGAAAAATTGGGGGTCGTTTCAATTTTTTTTTAAAATGAAAACCGATTCATTTCAATTGACAATAAAAAGTATAAAAAAAGCACCTTCATCCAATACCAAGTTGCCAAGAGCTGCAGATTCCATCTGGAAAGGAATGTTTCTTTTACGGCTTGAATCATGGACGGTGCATTCGTGCACCAAATGGCCACTAATGTTCTGTTTGGCTGCGTTACCATTTCGATTGGAATGCTTGCGATGTGGTCGTTGCTTAGCATTTGATAACTGAAAGAAAAATTAAGGTAAAAATGAAACTATGTCCAGACTTCCGTTTTGAGACCAAGTTTTTCTTCCACGAGTCTTCAATTAAAAATCTGGTTCAAAAATAGCCCAACTCACCTATTGTCACTATTGAATTTTCTCGATCGTCGTACGTACTTATTCCACCATGGTGGATCCATTACAACCAAATCATAACCATTGGCTGGTTCAATTCGATCAATATTTTGTATGTTTGCATTGGAAAATGTGCACTTTGGTGGAACGATATGGCTTGTGCCGTTCAATTCAACGACGACTGGTTTTTTTGAGTCATTTCCTCCTTTAAAATTGTCCCCGTACAAGCATTCAACCGATTGCCATTGATCCAGAAACAATTTTAGCTTTTCATTAGTCATCGTTTTTGCCTCATCCCTTTCGAAACTTGGTAATACATTCTGTTCGTGGCATTTGGCTATGAAATTGGATACATTTCGTTTAAGTCTTTCAATCTGCAAACGAAATAAAATGTTTGTAATGATATTTCTAAATGCTAGAAAAGGATAGAAAAGTACCAACTCAAATTCTTCACGATGCTCTGCAGCCACCACAATGTTGGTTTTGTTGATTATTTTCCGTTGTCTCTTTTTTGTTTGGGCTTCATCGGGAGTTTTGTATCGATACGGAACATTCAATTCAAATAAGTCCGGATTGATTTTATAGCTAGCACGTTCACTGTCACTGGAAGTGACCCCATCGTAAATTCGGTTGATAAAATTTTCGTGTGAAATCAACGAACAATTTTCAAAAGAAAACAATACACTCATTTCCAACCGGCAGCATAATTCACCAAAAAGTCAAAGTGGAATTGAGGTTATGTTTACCACACAAACGTCAGCTGAGTTGTTGAGATTTTGAAATAATTTTATTCGTTACATTCAATACAATTATATATGAGTTCGATTGAAATTACAGAGATTTGGCTTAAAAATGATTATATTTTTAATAATATTTTCCGTTGCTTAGGAGCGTTGCTTTCGTTTGTTATTCTTGGCGAAATAATCGTCAATGTCTTTGAGCACTTTTTCTTGCTGAACAATACGGTATCGTTCGCTCTTCTTTTCACTCTTATCGAGACAGTATTTGCCAAGACGAACGAGCCCAATGACAAGGAATACAGCGATCACCGTCCATAAAAGGCATGCCTTGACATCGAATTCTTCGTTTAATAACTTGCTAAACGTTCTGGGATACGTGCTTATTGTTGGCTTTTTCTGAAACAAATTGCAAATGAAAACGATTGATATGAATAAAACGGGTGGATAATGGATAAATACAAACGAGTTTAAAGCAAAAAATTGGAAGATGAAAATTAGAAGAAACAAAAATCACCTTTTTCCCATTTTTAGATGCATTACAATCCGTGTTGATAATGACAATTTTTCGAGTTAATGGCCATTTGGTTGATTGTCGATAATCCAGGCACTCAACTTCTTCTATCAATGGTTTGGTGGAATTTCCATCTGGAAATCCATCAAATTCGAAACCAAATTGTAAATTGGAAACTAAATGCTCCTTTTTCGATAGGGCACTCAAAAGCCATGAACAATTCCATGGGTTATTATTCAAATAAACACTTTCAACTGTTTTAAATGCCGATAGATTCATTTCATGGTATTGATTATGATGTAAATCGATGGATTTAATCGCGGCTGCTTGTTCAAGGAACTCATCTGTCTGCAAGTGATTTGATGCTAAATCGAGTGTTTGCAATGTTTTCAAGTCGGTGAACGTAAACGGTTGAATTGAATTGAGTTCATTGTGTGAAATGTTTATCGATTCAATTGAATTTAACGATGCAAATTGATTATCAAGTATATGCGTCAATTTATTATTGGAAACATCCAAATGTATTAAGCTTTCGAGGTCCTTCAATGCAATCGATGGAATCGACGCAATTTGATTGTGGCTTGCATTCAAAACCTATGTTTCAAAATATTTGAAGAAGAAAAAAAAGGACAAAATCAATCAACCGTCTCCACTCAATAAGTTAAAATGAAAGTTTTTTTTTTTTCGTTTAAATTGCCTACTTGAAGTGCTTTTAATCCACTCAATGCATACGTTTGAATTGCGATCATTGTATTGTGACTGACATCCAAATGAAGTAGTTGTGTATTCTGTTGAAAGGCATTTTCTTCGAGTCCATAGTCGTTGAGTGCATTTTCGCTTAGATTCAAATACTCCAACCGTGCCAAATTGTAAAAAACCATGGTATTTATTGTGGTTAGTTGATTGCCATTCAATTGCAATGTTTTTAGGCGTGTCGTCGTTGTTAATGCATACGAATCGATAAAATTAATACGATTGTTTGCCAAATTCAAGTCGATCAACCGCAATAATGCTTTGAACGTAAACGATTCGATGCGTTCAAGTGAATTTTTGGCCAAGTTCAACGTTTCAATGTTCAGCGAAAAGTCAAAGAAACCAACCGGAATCTCAGTAATAAAATTTCCGTGCAAATTCAACGATAACAATTTTGGATATCGACGCAATGCAAACGTATCTAAGTCACGTATGCCATTGTGATACAAGTTTAATTGCATCAATTTGTCTAAATTATTTGCCGCCCACGATTGAAGCGCTGTCAAATTCGGATTGCCAACGATGGTCAATGACTCCAATTTGGCCAAAGCACTGAACGCAAACGGGCTTATTGTGAACAGATTCGAGCGCACAAATTCAATGGACTGTGTATTGGCGACGTTCACGAAGAATGCATCCGGCAACGAGGTCACATTGCAATCGGTAAACACAAAACTCAAGGACAATGGCGAATTTACAGATTTATACTGATCATTGATGTTACGTAAATCGTCCAAAGTACAATTTGTTTGAATATTTGATTCGATCGATGCACTGTTTATCCATTGGCAATTGAATGCCAAGATGACAAACGCGATAAGAGGGTTTTGACCCATCACTACCGGACAAATCAATTTCGATTTCGATTTCTTGGAAACGGAACTTTCTCGAGTACTTTTCAAAACACACTACAAACTGATACTGACTGTACGCACATACAGTTCCTGGTGTTGCGGGTGCAAATTAACTTACACACACAGAGAGGGAGAGATAGAGAGAAAGAGACTTAATAGACATGTTATTTTCATGAGAACCGAGAAAAAAATGCTCAGATATCATGTGTGTATCAAAGATAAGATTAAGTAAATCCAATGCAGAGATCGACACTGATTACCCGACTGATACGAATCAAAAGATGTACATTTTTTATCATTTTGTTTTCGTCAGCTGAGACACGGCGCATATTTTAAGAAGCACAAAATACAAAGAAACCGATAAACTCGCCACAAACAGTTATCTTGAAGTTGTGACTTAAACAATTCTGTAACTCAAATGCAGACCGATTATTATTGCCCCATCAATGCACATTCTACGTAATGAATTTCTATTTTTTTTTCTCTCTTTTCGAACGAAGTTTTTTTTATTTACATCATTTCGAAATTGTTTAAGAGATTAAAACAATGATCTAGCAAATTACTGTAACTTATCAATATTTTTTTTACAATAGGAATGAATTTAACAACCAATAAATGAATTCCAATGGATATACGTGACAATGTGTCTGTTTGAATATTCTCTTGAGCGAATCACGCTTGAAATAAAATTGTAATTTTTTGTGTGTGTTGCGAAGAATGACTGAAACCAAATGTTATAACCTTCGATTTACTTTGTTGAATCATATTCAATATTTGATTCAGATTCACCAAGTGTGAGTGACTTTTAGGCTTCCGCTTTATTTTGGTATTGTACGAAGGTCCCCATGTCCGAATTCATAGCGAACATTTGTACTCACTTCGACTTTTGTGCGTCCATCTTTGCTTTGCCAAATTTTACCAATTTCGGCTTGAACATTTGTCGTTGGACCGTTGATTTGCACTTCAAAATTTACTTGGCCGTTGCCAATTGGACTTGATTGACGAGAAAATTATCTCATGGTTTTGGCAATGTTACAAACAACAATCAGGATTAAGAAAATCACGAGCTTCATCTTTTTTGTACTCACTTTCACTTGTTACTTTATTTGTTTATTGATAATTATATTGTGATTCGACCGGTTTATATATTTTTTTCATTAACTTTACTTATCGCTATCGACTGACGTCGTACGAGGGATAATTTTCTTCGAACCGATTTTGTTGTTGTTTGATTCGTTACCAAGATCAATACACAACGTAAACAAAATGATACAAATCATGGCAAACAATTCGATATAATAAGGTGAATCAAAGATATTGCTATTGCCTTGCCGGTTTTCAGGTCTTTATAAATAAAGACAACTTTGGCGAATTTGAATAAATATTTCGATGGAATTCAATCATTTTCAAGGCGTCACCTGTTAACTTTAATCAATCCAGATTTTCAAAGCTCAAAAAGTGAAAAAAATAACGATAAAATTGATATAGGCCACTTGACACAAACGAGATCAACACATTGATTGCAGAGATTCAAATTTCAGCATTTTAAGGATAAAAAAGCGAAGAAAAGTGCATTTTTAATGCAGAGCGAAAACAATTTGAGTTTTGAATACAAATTCAGTGTTGAGCTTGGAATAAGTTGAAACAGTGGATTATACTTTGAAAAATAAATCGCACTTTTTCTATCCCATTTTGTGTTATTTTCTTATGGGTAGAATAGGTATGGGTCGATAGCTTATAACAGGTCAAAAAGTGGAAAAAATGATGAAATGAGTGAGAATCGTTATAAGAACCAGAAGAAAGCATGAAAAATTGTCGAATATCCATCAAACGGGAGTTTTTTTTTTGTTCAATGAAAATCTGCCAATTTCCATTTTCTATGTTACAAAAATTTTTACAACATTTATTGTCTACTTTGTTTTACGTTCACTTTTTTCGATGCTGCATTCTTCAGGCGATGACGAACAATAATTATATGGACATCATTCCATCCACAACAAAGAACATTCAGTTGGTCACGAACACCACAGAATTTGTGTAAACAAAACGCGCAAAAATCGTCATCGACATACTCTTGATTTATCTTCGTCGGCAGCATATAGATAAAACACAGTAAGACGTGCCCCCTTCCACAGATTATAATATAAATAAACAAAACGTGCTTTTAAAAGCCAATCAATAATTATTTCATTGTGAACGTTTTTGAAAAACAACATTTATTTTTATCATTTTTTGTTTCACTTCTGAGATTGATTGGAACTTTCGAGAGCCGAAAGAAATTGCATTACGAGTAAAATTCTGCATAAGATTTCATTTTATCATACAAATGCTGTGTCGAAAAATGTTTGATTGATTCTATCGAATTGATTGACATAATCAAAGAAAGACCACTTCAGAACCAAATTTATGATTTGTATTTAGAAGTCATATCGCATTTTTTTTCTCTTGGAAATTTTACGGCAGCAAATTTTTCGGTAGAGTGCCAGCTAAATTTCAAACCATCAAAAATTTCGCAGCCAAAAAAAAATGATAAAAATTGTATCTTCAAGTTATAAGCTTAAAAATGTCAATATAGTAATTCAAGATCAAAATTTCGTGTTAAATCGATAACAAAATTTCAATTAATTCACAAAGCGGTATAATTTCGGTTGATACTTTGATGGAGTCACGCGTTGCGACTTATGTGAGCATCAATCGTTTCATCTTCGTGCGATGAGCCATTCAAAATGGGTTCTTGGGGTATGTGTCATAAAACAATTTCGCCCGCATTTACTAATCTTTTATCAATTCAGTCACTATTCTGGTCACATGAATCAGACCCGCTGCGACTTAATCTGCTGTTGTTGTCGCTGTTCTGCCGGGAAATGTTTATAAGCTGCAAAAATTCACAGCTAGTTCACGAGAACGTTCAACTATATCAATTCGGACAAATCGATATCATCGTTGATTTGAAGGAAGGGTCACGTTTATCTCGAGCGTGCACGCACTCGTTCCACGTCAACAGCAATAAAATAATCATCAAAACTAGTTGCTCATTTTTTTTTTTTGGGTGAGCTCATAAAAAATAATGTCACATATGACGGATGAGAAACCACCTCATTTGGGGTGTCGCATTCGAGAGAGAGAGAGAGAGAGAATTCTGGTGTTCGCATCGTGTGAAGTGTTAAGTCAACCACATAATCTATAAAAATTAATTTTAAATATGCCACTTAACGTGTGACGGTCACGTGTCAGAAAGTCAAGGATATGCAACAAATTGCATGATATTTGGCCAATGAATAAATAAAATCCACGATTCTCCTTCCGTTGTCATTCTTTTTTTCATCTCTATGTGTGCGATAGAACACATTTTAGTTTTGATTTCTCTTTATTAATGCTATCACCTCGATAAACAAATACAATATATAGAGAAAAAAAAAGAAATGCATGGGTCGAACGGCGGTGCGGAATGAGGCAGTTTAGTGCGCATCAATGCTGCTCTTTATCGCACCCTATTTATTATTATTGAATAACAAACATTATGTGCTATAGAGGCATTGCACGAAATCGTGGTGCTGTTTTCTCCCTTTTGCCCGTTGAATTCGCGCGAGAGAACGAGAATGTCGAAACCACGCCCAATTCAGGATTTCAACCTGCAAACGGTGAAACACATCATCCAATTTTCCGAATCGCACAAACATTGGACGTTGTATTTGGCTTTTCCCATGGACGTCGACGCAAAACAGTAACACCGTATTCAAGCTAACCATACTCAGTAAAAGCAGTTGCCAATGAGATTTTGAATTCGATTTCTGAATTCATTTTGTCGCATTGAAACGGCTCGACTGTGACTGCACAGAATAATGATGTACATACATGTTACACAGTCGATGTACCTTGCGACAAATCATACATACAAAGGGGTGGATCTTTTGTCGAAGCTTTGTTTACATTGGCCAGCCTAAACGTATGGATGCACTGAGGCTCGTATTTGTAGGCTCGCTTGCGAGATAACCAGAAAAAAACACCAAATGCCACACGATTCACATTTTCACACCAGTTTAGTTAACAATTATTATTATTATTCTCTTTTTTTTTAACAATATCTCTTAAAGTCGGATTCTAACCGAACTCGTGCCATATCGATCGAAATCAAACGGGTGTGTGAAAAACTGTGCTTGGGTGAAAGGAAACAAATTATGACGCGAAACGAGGATATCACAATACAAAATATTATTTGCATCTACCGACCAAAACGTAAATATCGTCATTCGCTCAACAAACTCCACAGGACGCAGAAGTCTCTCTGAACACAATCGCTTTTGGAACGAAAAATATTTGGATATTCGGATTGAGTGTGCAAAAGAGTGTAGTGATAGAACATTCAAGCAAATAAATAAACAAAAGCGAAAAAACAAAAACCAAAAAGTTTCGAAAGAAAAAAAAACAAATAAAAACTTCCACGTGAAAACGGGATACTCGCTGAAAATTTGTTAAAACAAGAAATCTAAACATTAAAGCCTCGAAATTCCGGAAAAGTTTTTTTTCTAGAAAATCAATCATCATGGAGTGGGCAGAAAATGAAGAACTAACCAACGATCGATGCTCAACGGCATCATCGATTAGCAATTCAGGTGATGTAAACAGTGGTCTATCGACGCATTCGAATGGGCCAAAACCAGTGAATAGCCAAAATTTAAATGGAAATCAAAGTAATCAAACCAACAGCAATACGTCATTGAATTTGGATTCAATGTCTGATGGCGAACTCTCCGATTTTTCACTAAACGACAGCGATGACGAAGAATTTCGATCGACTTCGAATTCGGGTAAGTTTTTTGTTCCGATTTTATTGACACGAATTTCATGATGCAATTCGATCGTATTAGCTTATTTTATTGGTTTTTGTTACCATTTTGAACGCTATTCATTCACAAGATTTGTATGTGAAATTTTATTGAACTTTTGATGTAAAATGTTCAATTTGTAAGTGAAAAAAAAATAGTCGTAATACAAACAGTGGTATCTTTTACGTTTACTCTTCTTACTTTGAAAGTTAGGTAGCTTTAAAAACGATTTTTTGTTTGTTTAATTGATAAGTGGATAAGGAAAGAAAAGTACAGAAAAATATGAATTTTACCCTTTAAAGCTTGAGATTTCAAGTCATGCATGTAGTATTCATTGGATACATGTTCCAATTGAGACTTGAGACAATCATTTTTTCCGTATCTGAATTGGGTAGAAGTTCCTTTATTAATAAATTTATGAGTTTGTCAGCAGCAAAGGGAATTTTTATGGATCATAAGAAATTTTTGATTTGAAAGAAATACAGCACTAGAAGCAAACAGGAATAGAAGAAATTTAAAACATAAACTACTTTCCCACTATTGAATTTGAAGGACTTTGCGTAGGAGATAAATTCAAGCTCACAATCTTCTGTAAGAGATTTCTCGGGAAGATTTCTTTTGGAAAAATGAATGAAACTGCATTCAAAATGTCAACTAAATTTATTTATCTATTTTACGAATCATTTTTATTATATAGATTTTAGTATAGCCTATGGTTTCATGCACATATTCCACGATTGAAGCAGCATTAGAAAAGTGGCCAAATTAAAATGCCGAAAATATGTCATCTTCATGGATAAATCTTTTCGAATGTTTCAAAAAAATGTGCTTATTGTAACAAAAGCTTCATAGAGCAAATAAAGAATGAAATGTTTTGAACAACTTACGAAATATATACATAGCTTAGTGGGAGTCATTGTTTCAAATAACTTAGTGGAAAGTTTAAAATTGATAATCCTTGATTAAAAATTATGAATCATCATTTTTGTCTTCTCACATTCGAAAAACATGTTCCCACGAGGATCTCATTTCTTTTATCTATTTTCTTTCGTTATTTCAGGAAAATCTTATTGAATCCAGTGGATTCAATCCACATACTTGCAATTAATAAACGAAAAAAAAAAAAACTAATCCAAAATATATTTGAAACATTACAGGAGATCGATGTCGTCCGCTGTCTACAAATAACGCCTCAAATGTGCCAATAATATTCACCGGAACTCGAAACGGTCAAGTGGTACGAAAAATCTTCACAAACACTCGTGAACGATGGCGTCAACAGAATGTGTCCGGAGCATTTTCTGAACTGCGAAAACTCGTTCCGACTCATCCACCCGACAAGAAGCTATCAAAAAATGAAATTCTTCGCATGGCCATCAAATACATTCGATTGCTAACGAATATTTTAGACTGGCAAAAGAAGCAAGAGCAGCAACAGCAATGCCACGAACGAAATAACAATGTGATTGAATCGGTTAAATTCGAGCATGCGGAACGATCGGTCAATAAAGAAACAACAACCAAAAGTACGGTGAACACAGTGTCAAAGACGAATAATGGAAATGCACAGCGATTGCTTATGATTGCACCAAACTACCTCAATTGTGACACCAATGCATCGATGAACACAAGGGAAATGTGTGCATCGAGCAAAACTGAAGCGAACGATGTGAATCGTCGATTGAAAATCAGCGCGGAAAACTATACAAATTCATCAGATCCAATGAACAATCCGATTTTGTGCAACTTTCGAAGTGGAAATCTGTTGTCAGTCAAAGTGGAAAATACATCGTCAATGCTGATGCAACAACACGATGCAAGTAAACCATTCGAAAATGGCCGAAACACATTTGCAAAAGTGAGTGGATCGTGTATGATGGCCAATAATAGTGTTGAAAATGCCAATCGAAATGCCAATGTAAGCCGATTTTTCGATGACAAATCTCACAACAATGCCAATATTGTCAATCCTCCGAAAAGTCGAAACGCATGTAACAAACGTAAAATTAATAATGACCGTGATGTCCACCAAGTTGAAAAGAAAAAGAAATAATTTTTTTTAATGTGACTACAGTAATTTGCGAAATGTAAAAGGATTTCGAGATATTTAGGAAAAAACAGATTTTGAACCATTCCAGGAAAGAACAGTGTCGAGAAGAGACGAAAAAATTTTATGAAATTATTCAAACACCTTTGTAATGTGTGTAGAATAAAAATCAAGCGAAATAAAGTGAATAAAGAAAACGATGAGTCTGAGAGTGTTTATTTGGTCTAAAATTTGAGCTTTAAATCTGCAGGAAACGAGCGTTTTCATTGGGAAAATTTTCATGCGTAAAATTTGTCATGTTCAAGCAAATCTTTGCCCGGAAAAAGATAATACGGTCTTAAGAAGCACAAGTTTTTTTTAAAGCTCTTGAATGTAAAATGTTTTTGTTGTTTTTTATTATGCCTAATTATTGTCATTGCTAACAATTTTGAAACCCTTTTTTTCGTGGAACCATTTTTTTTTGGTGAGGCGGCGCATCTTTTCTAAATTCCCATGCAAAAAAAAACAGTTTTTTACCCATTCCATTGGATGCGCACGATCTGAGCATCTGATAATATTTTAATACAAATTGAATATTTCCTTATCTACGTCGCACACTCGCTCCTCATCCTTTACACATTTTTCAAACCGTATTCATTCGCTCGGTGCGACACAAATACAACGAAACATTTGCGTAGACAGGAAATGTACGAGTTGGTTTTATTGGTTGCATTTACGCATGCTGCAAGTTGTGACTCGGAAAATCTGTAATATTTGTACAAATATTTGGTATACAGTTATGTTTCATTAATCCTTTTAAGAGAGAAAAACCGTACAACTCGTTCAATTTGAAGCGTTCAATTGAAGGCGTTCAGCATGAAAATCGGGCGTCTCCATGCAATACATCAAAGCTATGTGCTTGGATACGACTGTCATCCAATGGATAAACATAACCTCTTATTGGCCATGTGTTAATAAACACAAGTGTTTGAATTGCAGTGGATGTGTGTATCAAGAACAGTTTGGAAACATTTTTAGCTCTTTTGGGGGATAATTCGTAAAAGATGGGTACCGATCAGCAAGCGCATCGGGCCGGTGCCTTGAAACAAAAGAATAAAGTGCACAAAACGGGAAGACATCGTTCGAAAGGTGCAATCGACAATGAATTAAAAGGTAAGTTGTGTGTATGCTGTAAACAATGCTGTCTTCCACGTGAAAAGTGATTGGGAGGGAAGCAAATGAATCGGCGAGAAATTAGTTTTTATATTCAAAACTAAAATGTGAATGCATTCTAAATTTTAGGCAAAGCTTCGGTCAAAACAATTACAAAGAAACAAAAAAATGCGATGACAAAGGAACAACGTCGTCATCAAGCACTTCAGGTATGTTGTTGCATAGAAATCGATGCGACTGGGCTTGAAATAAAAATGATGCATCTTTCCAATATAGATTCGCAAGAACAAAAGAGACGAGGTGATGGATAGAAAACGCTCGCTTGGTGGCTCATCGTATGCACCATTTTTGGTTGCATTGATACCATTGAATGAACAAATTGATCCACAATCGGCGCTTAGCATTCTGAAAGCATGCGATCCAGAAGCTGTTGTGACAACAAGTCAAACGGGAACAACTCACATCACGTAAGTCAATGCGGTATTTGCTTTGGGTTTTTTTTTTTAATTATCTGAATGTTTTGAGGAATGTCTCCGTTAATTTTCACTTTCGCCTTCAATCATTTTATTTCCATTCTTCTGCCATTTTCAGAATCCCTCGTTTCAAGCAGCGCTTTGCATTCATCATACCACCAACTGGTGCTGGAAATGAGCTGGCCGCATTGGATTGTCTCAAAGTGTGTGACACAACGGTGTTTCTGGTGTCGGCAAATGTCGACGAAGATGATATCTATGGCAAATGGGGCAAACGATTCATTAACATGGCCATTGCTCAAGGTGTTCCAACGCCAATCATATCACTCATGGACTTAGAATCAGTGATACCGAACCGTCGTGGAAAAACCAAGGCTGCCATTCAGAAGTATATTCAACGCACATTTCCAATTGAGAAAATCGTGAGCTTGGACACAAATAGCGAAGGTTTCAATTTATTCCGACGCATTGGCGGTCAGAAGAAGAAAATTTTGCATAACAAAGATAATCGGCCACATTTGTTCGCTGAGAATGTTGAATACGTAGAAAATGCCTCCGATCCGAGTGCTGGTGTGTTGAAAGTGACTGGACACTTGCGTGGAATCGCCCTAGATGTAAATGGTTTGATACATATTCCAAATCTAGGTGATTTTCAAATGTCACAAATCGATTTGGTGGCCGATCCATTCAGACATGATAAGGATAAGTGAGTGACATTTTTTTATTTACAATTGATTTATTTTTTTGGTGAAAACAATTGATTTCGGAATCTCGTAATTAGAATCAAAGATTTTTCTTGAATTTTTATGAAACAGGTCAATATTTTTGGCCAACCAAAAATATATTCTAAACATAAATTTCAACCTAATTTCAGAAATGAAGAGAGTCGTGTGCTGTTGCGTGCTACACCATCGACACAAAAGTCTCTGCAACGTGAGAACATACCCGATGAAATGGATGCTGAACAAACGTGGCCAACGGAAGAAGAAATCGCCCATGCTCAAGCCGAAACGAAGAAAAGTAAATTGATCAAGCGAATCCCAAAGGGTATGAGTGATTATCAGGCGTGTTGGATTCCGGATATCGAAGAAAAGGAATGCAGCGACGAATCGGATGGTGACAGCGATGACGATGATGATGGCATGGACGATGATGAAGACGATTTCATGTCGTGCAACAGCAATCCTGATTCGGCTGATGAATTTGAGAAGGATGATGACAACGCAGACGAAGAATGCGTGTCTATGGTACAGTCCGAAGTTCGTTTCAATGACGATAAGTATGATATGGAAATGGATTTACAAGAAGAGCGTGAAACATGGGAGAAAATTAAGGAGGCTCGATCGGATAAATTGTGGCCCGATGAAATTGACACGCCATTGAATATACCGGCACGGTCACGTTTCCAGAAATATCGAGGTCTCGAATCGTTCCGCACATCACCATGGGATGTGAAGGAAAATTTACCAGCCGATTATGCTCGCATCTTCCAATTTGTTAACTTTGATCGCACAAAGAGACGCATTTTGAAGGAATACAAAGACGATGTTGATGGCGCCGAGGTAAGATAATTGGTGAACATTTCTTTCGATTCAAAATCATAAGTTTAAGATTGAGGACTTTATTTACATTTTATTGAACCACCCATGAAATAGTTTAAAAATTTCATTGAATACGTTTCTAAAGCCAAGTTTTTCATCCGTAGCCTGGATCATACATTACAATCCATGTGTCTAATGTGTCGCTGGGACAATGGCAACAATGGAAAGCCATTGAAGATGCAAATCCAACTTTGATCGTTTACGGTTTGCTGCCGCATGAAAACCAAATGTGTGTCATGAATGCCGTTCTGAAGCGAGCACCCGATTCAACCATACCCATTAAATCGAAAGAACGTCTCATTATTCAATGTGGCTACAGGAGATTTATTGTCAATCCCATATTCAGTCAACACACAAGCAGCGATAGACATAAGGTAATTCAACAATTCTTTTTTTTTGTGGTGACACAGAATTTGGTGAATTTTTCTATTCAGATTTTTGATTAAAAATTGATTTTTTTTTCTCATAACAGTATGAACGATTCTTCAGGCCCGAAGAAACGGTTGTTGCTAGTTTTTATGCACCAATTCAGTTCCCGCCATCGCCCATTCTGTGTTTCAAGGAGAATCCAGACACTACATTGCGTCTTGTGGCCAATGGTATCTTGTTGTCATGCAATCCAGATCGAGTGATATTGAAGCGTGTCGTTCTTAGTGGTCATCCATTGAAGGTACATTGAGTGATCGCTAATTTTTCACATTTATTTCTTCAAAAATCATGTTCAATATTCATAACCTATTCATTTTTCATTTAAATCTCAATTTAATTTTGAAGAAAAATTCCAATGTTCCATTATTCAAAACGTATTAATGTAAATATTCCCAACAGATTAACCGAAGAACAGCCACAATCCGTTATATGTTCCACAACAAAGAAGATATTGAATACTTCAAACCGGTGAAGCTTCGCACACGTTGCGGTCGTCTTGGTCACATCAAAGAATCTTTAGGTAAATTTTATTTCATTCTACAGCCTCTGTGAAAATCTTATTCTTTTTTTTCTAACCGTTTGGTTTTCACTTGATTTCAGGTACTCATGGACATATGAAATGCTTTTTTGATGGTCAATTAAAATCGTTCGATACGGTGTTCATGTATTTGTATAAGCGGGTATTTCCAAAATGGACCTACGAAGATTGCATAGTGTCGGTGCGAGATGAAACCAATACAGCCACACAAAATGACACCGAAATGATTGAATAAATGTAGAGAAAATATTGTCTGTAAAACAATTTGCTTTTTCCATTCACGAGTGGATTAATGTAAAGTTTTTGTTAAATAAATAATTTCAAAGTGTTATTTGAAAAATTGTATAAAAAAAATTTATTTTCATGCATTTTTTTTAACAAATTTATTTTATTATCAAAATTCGAGTTGACATGAAACACTTATAATCATAATATCATACAAATAATACCATCTATCGCCCAGAATATATTCACCTATCATTTCGGAAAAGAATTTTGCCAAACAAGAATAATAAAACAGAATAAAACAGAACGGAGCGGAATGGACTGTTTTTATCGACAAATTTCAACAAAGTTCAAACTGCAGATGATGTTTGGATTTCATTTTAATTACATTTGATGGCGCCGATAGTCAATTGAGTACGCAGCGTCAAAGCACTCACACATACAAACACCTTTTTGTATACCATGGTAAACAAAAACAAACAAACAAACAAAATTTGATTGGAAACAAATAATCCGTCTGAAATATATTTGTATTTTGTGCAGATAATTATTAAAACGGTATTTTCTTTGAAAATTCTAGGGAATCGGTGGATACATCTTTGTGCTTTTGTATTTTGTACTTTTTGCAATGGTTTATTTATAATTGTGGCAATAAATTTTATTAGTTTTCATTTAGTTGAATATTCGGACAATACAGTTGAAATGATGGTAAAGGTTCCGACATATAATGAATTATATCCATATGTATGGAGTCATTAGGTTAGTATGATCGTACGCTATCGTGCGACACATATTTGGTCAATATGAACCATCCGGGTGGTGAATCAGGGTCGTTTGAATGACCACGAAAAGAAGTTTTTCCAAAATTGTTTATTTCTTGGGGTCGGGAATCTTTTTAAAACAGATTTAGAGTTTTTCCTTCACAAATCAACAAGAATTTCCATTTCCAGTAGGCCATTTTTATATCCATTTGCCTAGGCCAATTTTCCAGAGCGTGTTATGGGCTGATTTAAGCAGCACTGACTGACATCAGTTGCTGATATCAACTGCTGACGAGTATGCGTTGCGTTGAACGAACAATTCTAGCTGTGGATAAAATAAATGAAATTGAGGGTTAATGACTGATATTCCAAAAAAGAACCCATTTTTAAATGTTGCTTTTGGAGTGAGAAACACTTCATTGACACTAAACGAATTCATTTCATGGATGTGCCGACAAATCAGATTTGAAATTTCCAATATTTTTTTTTGTTGATCTAATTAACCATATCATGAAATACTTAAAACTAAGAATCTTCCCAAAATTGCATGTCTTTTGCGGTAAATACAAGAAAATGTTCTTTAATAAAAAGAAAATTTGTGCACCCATCTGGATTGCGAGATATATTTATGCATTTTTTCAAAAAACACATTTGATTTAAACTCAACATTTCATAACAAATTACTCGGTTTCACTTTATTCAACCGAATTTCCAGCGTTTTCGAATTGAATTTTGGTGCTGTTGACCAATTATAATTTTTGATGACTTTCACCTATGCAGTATATTAAAAAAAAACATATTTGTATTTATATAAATGAACGTCTATAAATAAAATTCATGTTTAGTCTTTGATGAAAGAATAAAAATGGAAATCTTATTTGAAAATAAATCTGCGAGCGATTAAAATTCTTTTTAAATATCCTTATAGAAAACACCACGAAAAATGAAAAAAAAAGTATTTCATCTTAAAAATGTTCCAGTCAAACAGTTAAAAAGATCATTGTGATAAATGAATACTGTTACTGTCATTGAATTTTTTATTGTCTCAAAAAGTGAGTCTCTTTCTCGAAGCGTCAAAAAAATTTCAAATAAATCCACAAATCAAGTCTAAAGGTGAGGCTCATATCGCTAAAAAATGGCTTGTCGTTGATCGTTCGGTTTCATATAAAAGTTGTATTCTTCAGACTCGTAATTTCCATATATGTCGTTTGCTTGCCGATTATCATGTTTCTCGAATGTGAACAGACCGTTGGCGTATTGGTGTCGCCAATTATTAACACACAGTTCCGATTTCGCTGTGGCCTTACATAATTTTTATCAATTGAGCTCAATATTTTTTGTTGTCTTCTTTCCGTTCTGTGCTATATATTATTGTGTCCCTTTCTCGAAGTATTCTATATGTATTGCGGTTTTTTTTTTGCTATCATCGTCTTATCTCGCACACCCTATATACTCGAACGATCTGTTTACGTTTCAGCTACAAGTACACAAGAGATTACAGTGAAAAATTGAAAGAAATAGCTCAACGTAAACTTCAGTAAAACCGGAATGTCGTCTGATGCCTGGCTTGGTTCACTTGTGATGGTATTGTCTGCATATTGGTTGTTGTCCTCTGTTTTGACTGCTATCGCACATACGGTGTACGAACGAGAGCTGTTTTGATCCACTAACACATGTACACACCGTCGCACATGCACATGCAAACAACGCTACTTGTAGCCAACACTCCATAAACAGAGTGTCTTTCTCTCTGGCTTCGTTGTTATGATTGTTTTTCAACTATATGCTGTGTATTTCAAATCAGTCTCGTTTTTAACACAGGCGCAGTACCACTGGTCGACAGTGAATTTCATAATTTTACACCGTTTTTTCAGCAGATTTTTCACATTTTGATACATTCATATTTGCATCCAGAGAAAATTAGCTAGAAAGTTTGCTACATATCTCGTGCATTTATATTTAGATATTTTTTAAAGTCACATTTTTGAGAGAAGGAGAAACGGTTCAAAATGGTCAACTTTAAAGTAAGTTACAGTCTCAGTTTCAACAATTAGTTTGTAATCGGTGTAAATTTCGTTAATTGTTTCAAAACGAAAAGTAAACATAATCGTACTCAAAAGGATGGCATTGTTTTAATGCGAAAACCGTTGTGATATTAAAATGGTATACGTGCAAAAATACACACTCGTTCGTCGATCTGTATCGCCATCTCCTTGGTTTCGATAGTAATGTCAGAGGTTTTTATTCCTTATTCTATATTCTTTTGGCGTTCTTCGATCGAAGAAAAACAACAACAAAACTAACGATGTTTTTTTTGTCTCTTTATAACTCATTCACGTTTATCACAAGTCTGCATTTTTGTTGGGCTACCATTTATCACTACGTGGTTTTGTAGACGGTTTTTTTTGCTGGTTATTGCTAATGAAATTCAAAACTAAACGATCTACTATTTTTCCTCTCTTCTTGTCAATTTACAGCAAACATCAATCGCATTGCAACGTTTATTTGTGTATGGAACATTAAAATCCGGTCAACCAAACCATAATATCTTACGTGATCCGGCAAATGGCTTAGCAAAATATTGGTGCAAAGCGACGACAACAACAAAAATGCCACTTGTGATTGGTACACGCTACAATATTCCATTTTTAATCAATAAGCCAGGTGTGGGCAGCTATGTTACGGGCGAAATATACGAAGTGGACGACAAAATGATGCATATTTTAGACAATTTAGAGGATTGTCAACGCATCTACAAGCGTGCAATTCAAGATATGAATTTGGGCATTGGCGAAGGGTAATTGCAGCACTGATTTTCTCATTTCTTTTTTTTTGAAAAGACATCGACAAAGAAGGAGTTTTTTCTAATTAAATTTTGATATGTGTTATTTCAGGGTTGTTCCATGCAATGTTTTCTTGTTGGATAAATACCCAGAGCATCTGCTGGATTTGCCACACATTACCGAGTACAAAAATTGTGCCGAACATCCGTACATTAAGAAAACATTACGAAAGCATGTGTTAAATGATGAAGATTTTACACCAGCTACATCAGCGGCTGGTGCAGCCTAAATATCATCCGTTTTATATCCGTTTTTTTTTTCATTTCTATTTCCATTTTTTCTATTTTCAAATGAAGAATAAGCAGCACATTAAAAAAAATTTATAATAAATTTCTTGATTGCGATTATTACTATTGTAAGACAATAAACGGCGATCTGTTTTTTTTTTGTTGGTTCCAATGTCAACATTACTTTAATAAAGTCAATCCGAATCGGTTTATTTTTTTATCAACAGCTCCGCATGTGGTTTGTGTTTTTCTTTCTTTCTTTAATGTTAAACACTCCGGCGACGACAATCATAACAAAGCGAGTTTCTTGTATTGGTTCAGTTCAAGTACCTACTTTGATGTACTAGATTTAGTTTTTGGATCAGTTTTTCAACTGACATTTCGAAATCGGAATAGAATTGGGAATAATGTATTATATTAATACATGCATTTGAACCACTATTACCGCTTTGTTTTCGTTGAACTTCCAGAAACAAACAAAAGAGATAGACAGTATGTTTGGAAGGAAAATCGAAATATTTTCGCATTTATTTTCTATCATAAGAGCGGTTTCCCCTCAAAAAAGCTTCCAAAAGGGAAATAACACATGTTTATGTAAGCTTTTTCGTAAGTTGAACACATATTTTCAATTGAATTCAAAATAATTTTGGTATTTTCTTGAAATTCAACATAATTTTGAATCTTTTCAACAGATGAATTTGTTCGGCAAAACGGAATATGCCATGGACGCAGCGATACCTATGAAACTGGGGGTCATCTTCATGCTGACTCGATGCGGAAGGTTCCGACGTTGAAAGTTAGATTGTTGCAAAAACTGATTATCATCACATGATTGATTATTATCAATTTGGTTATAAACTAAGTCATTTGGTCGTAAAAGGCGGTGAAGATTATTGAAACCAAAAGCTATGCCAAAGAATGATCAGTCTTGACTTTCATAATTGGAGCAATGAAAAATGGAAGGAAAGCCAAGCCAAGCCAACTGAGCCAATCAATGAAGAAATTAGAAGAGAAAGTCAGCTTCATGTGATATGAATTCGAAAACAAATTAAACTACCACCAAATCGACTACTTCCGCTTTACCATGGAGGAATCAAGCTCGATCGCGACGACTATCTTCTAGAAGGGACAGCTATCTTGTATAAAATTGGTAAAATAAATAGATTGAGCGTCTTGAATGAATCAAAATTAAAGTGTGGTTTCAATCAGTCGGAGGAAATGAAAGAAGAGTCATAAACCGTCAACAAATGACGCAATGGATAATTAGACACTCGACTATCAAGGTTTCCTTCAGCGAACGTGCTCTGGACGGAAAAATGAACTCGAGTAAAATGTCTGGAAAATATCTCGATGAGATTTACTTATATGCAATCTTCTACCTTTTCTCTAATTCTAAACAGATCACTTTATCCGAAAGAATGTCAACTGTCTAACGAAAATAAAACAGCTGTATTAATAAACAGATTGTATTTGTTTTCTCCCGAAATAAAGAAAGAAACAAATCGCCAGCATTTTTTTTTTGTTCAACCTATTTTATTTAGATCAATTTTTAAAAAAAATTTACACGATAATGATATTTGTTTGTCATCTTAAATGGCTAACGTTGTTTAGTGGTTTTATTTTTTGTTCCAAGTTCTCTCAAAGTGACTTGATTTTCGTTCATAACGAACATTTATTACATATTTTTTGTTGCCTTAATATTCTTTCGACTGAAAATGCCGCACAATTCGCCGTTCGAAGCAACGCCATTTCAAGTGAGCCGATTTCTTATCATCCTAATAAATAATGCTCACAGTGCTCGCTTAACATTGTTATTGTTTTCGTTTGTCTTTTTTTTTCTCACAGAATTGGAAATTGATGTGCGTGATTGGCGTGTAGGTTGATGAAAAGTTGCCTCAAGATGAGTGATAATAAATAAATTAACATAGTGTTCAGTTCAGAGAGAATTTGGTTTTTCTTTTGTGCAACAATCAAACTTATCACTATGTTTTGTTGTTTTAATTTTTTTTCTCTAAAACACTCAAACCAACTGAAAAAATGATGAAAAATTTTGGACGCTGTCGATATGCAACTATTCAAAATCTTTTTTTTTTGTTTTTTTTTTATTATTGTTGTTGATTAAATGTTTCATTTGCTATGAACTCAGTGAAAACCAATAAACTCTGTTACAAAAGCACATGAAGCCGAAAAAAATGGTTCCCTTTTGTTTCATATTATCAATGTTAGCAGACGAAATTTGGTGATAATATCTCTGTATTTCCTGCTGGATTTTCTGGACTGAATGGCTTTGAACTGGTTTACAATGTATGAATTTGGTGATTTTAGATAGACCAAAATTTTAATTCTATTCATTGAGCAAAGCCCAATGAGCATATATGAAGTTTAAATAATCGGAAAATGATATTTAAATATTTAAATATTTACACATTTGTTTCTTCTCTCTCTCTCTCTCTCTCTCTCTCTCTCTCTCTCTCTCTCTCTCTCTCTCTCTCTCTCTCTCTCTATCTCTCTCTTTCTCTTTTCAATTTGTTCAATATCTTAACCTCACTCATCTCACACATCTCTCTCACCATGTATGATTTTTTTTTGTAATACTCTCCCGAATTATTCGTTAGAATTCACAAGAATGAAGCTCATTTGAGGCTATGTAATAATTTTTTAGACTCTTTTTCTGTTTGGTTGTTATTTTCAATCGAAATAATGTAAAATGCTAATTAAATATTTATAATTTAGATTTTTTTTTGTTTTTTTTTTTTTAATGATGGAGGTTTAATGGAAAGCCTTGACGTGGTCACTTTCGATTTGTTATTTTTTTCTATCACACAAGCGAGGGAAAATACGTTTTAAATTAGCAAGACCAAAACGACATAGTGTAGTTTTCTAGTTGTTGTTTTTGTTGTTAATTTTCTGGTTGTTATTAATGCCATTTGATTTGGTTCATGTATCTACTGCATTTTCGATACTTCGAATCGAGTGTTAATGATTTCTTCGTCGGAATCGAGAATGGGTAGCGTTGCATCGGCAATGGCCGTTGGTATATTCTCTTCCACCCATCTCAGATCGTCTTCATCGGTGGTGGTTGCTTTGTGATTGTTAAATTTGGGTGAGTTGGTATTTCGTGAGCCACGCATTTTCACGCCATACACATCGGCCACAAATTGATCCTCTTCATCATCGTCGTCCTCATCTTCGGGACTATCGAGCAACGGTGTGAATGCATACCGTTGATTGTTGTTTGTTGGACGCCATAAAATCATTATCACTAGCAACAGTAATGAGAATAAAATGTGCCAAAATGCTTCATCTTCCCATAAATCCTTCCAGTCGGTCAGACACTTGGCGAGGCGATGTGTTTTAATGGAGAACAGCATAAACACAACGGATGCCAGAACGGCAAAAATGAGCGTATTCGTAAAGTGTCTGTACAATGTTAGTTTGACCATATTTCGACGTAATCGAAGTGTGCGCGTTGTTTGCACCAATGACGTGAATATCCACCAGCAAATGGCTGAATCGAGAACGGCCAACGGTATGCTCGCCACAAGGATTTGATTATTTGGATCACTTTTTATGTTCATCACACGCAAATAACTCTCAACACCGGCCTGTAAACGAATGAACAACAACAAAATGGGTTTTAATTAGTTAAAATGGACTTGTCGCTGTTTTGCTTCTCCTTTTTTTCTGTCATCAAACTTACAAGAACAAAGTATAGGCCACCCGTTCCGACGACTCGATGTAACATTGGTCCAAGACGTGGTTTGACTATGCCAAAGCCGAGTGACACAATAATCACAAGCATTCGGGCCAACGTTCGTTTGGCGCATGAAACCCATTCGGCGAGTAATACTGCACCGCGCACTGAAACTCCCGTCGAATTGATGCTCTGGTATTCTGCATAGAACATTGCCTTCTCTAACATGCCCAACAATATGACGCCACCAATCCAAAATTGAATACGTAACAAATCACGCCATTGCATAAATGAAACCATCAACCAAATTACACCGAATACCACATAAATCAAGCACATTACACCGTAAAATGGTAACAGTGGCCAATCAACAGCCGATAAGAAACCATATGTGCCACGCATTTCAATGTGAACAGATGCATTGTAATCTTTGTTACTGGTAGCTCGAATAATCAACGCAAACAAGTACACGCCATCGGCTTGAATTGTATAAACGGGATTACTGGCTCCAATCGCTTTGCGATTCAATATGTGCGGATGTATTTCGTCGGCCAGCAATAAATCATTTGCACGTTTCGCTCGACTTTTCACATCCATTGGCCCATTGGCTAGTCCAGCCGATGATTTGATAGACGAACGATATTCGGGCAACGGAATATGACCGCCATTGCTGCACTCTCTTATAATTTCCGATTGTTGAACGAAATTTGTATCGTTTGATGTGCGCGGCACAACATTTTCGAATGTCATAAATGAATCTTGCCAACATTCCGATTGTATTAGCATCCATGCAATTGAAATATTTGTATTCGTTGGCTTTGAGTCACACGTAATGGTGACATAGATTTCGGAACCGGCAAACAAGGACTTTGGAACGGTCACCGACTGTACATTACGGTTCATTATGAAGTCCCATTTGCCTTGGTCAGGGAAACAATGTGCAGCCGGAGCACAGCTACTGAGTACCAATAGAAATGTCAATGATATGTGTTGCCATATCCGTCGTTTTGATAAGCTCCACATTTTATCAATCTGTTGAATTGTCATCGTCGTCAGTGTGCTTATATGGTCGACTGCAAATTCTGGGAAACACACCAAAAATTACGTACACCGATTCGGAAACGGAAGAAACACACAAAGAGAGAAGAAAAATAAAAATGCTGAATTTAGAATTGAAAATTATATAAAATCGACTGATATATGTTGTAATAAATGTGTGACTTCATACGTTTTGCGGCGAATTTTTTTTTTTTTACTTTCGTTCGTATCGATTTTGCAATCAATTGTCACAGACTTGTTCCTAGATTTTGTGCGATAGGATTTATTTCATATTTTATTTTCACACATTGCTCATCGTACTCGTATTTATAACTGCATGACTGCCAATCACATACACACACCACACACAAATTCCCCCAAGTAGAACCAAATGTCCCGAAAGTAAAAAAAAAAATAATCAAAATTGCAATTAAACACGGGGCCAATTTCTTTTTCTTAAACATAAACGAGAATAACACCGAATGGAATCAGCAGCTCGAAGAAAGATTTAAAAAAAAGAAAAATAACATCAACCAAAACAGACAATTAGAACATTGGCAATTGCTCAAGTGTTTTTTTTTCTTTCTTTCTCTTCTTCTTCTCTTTTGTGTATTCTTTTTTTATCTTGTTATTTCAACTAAAATTCCGCTATCAAAATTCCAAATTAATCGATGTATGTGTTTGCACTTCGACACACTGAAAACAAAAATTTTTTTTTACACCGAATGATATATTTTCAATTTCAAGTGCCTGTCGCTCATTTCTTTTTTTTCTTTCATTTACACTTATTTACGGTATTTCAAATGTTTAATGACAAATGAAAACGATACGACATGCGGCGCACATCGCCTATCGATGTCGACAATGGGCAATAATACATTTTATTACGACAAACTAAACTAATATGCAAACACATACACACACACGCACAACAATACCGATGGCGCACACATACGTGCGGCGAGAGCGTGTGTTGTGTGTACACACATTACAAAAACCGATAATGTTATAACTGCTGACTTGAGCAAGTTATCTTCAATTCACCTCTCGTTCGGAGTGTAATGTATGAAACGTCAAACTCACTTTGTGTGCGTGTACAATCGGAACAGTTGACAATTTACCGGACCAGTTTGTTCTGGGTCCGTACATTCATGTGATTTGGATTTGGATTTAAATTCAAATTTCACTTACACTCTTATCGTATGTAACATGCTTTCTTGTCAGAGTTTTGAGAGTAAAATTTCCAATTAATGGCACATTCAAGTCCTATTTATGATTAGATCTTTCTTCATGGTTAAATACATGTGACTCTATTGAATATATATGATATTCATGAGAAAAAAAAATGAATAAAAACGTTCGGTTTAAATTCGAATTTGGTTTTTTATTCGATATGTTTTCGTTTCCATAGAAGAAAAAAATGACAAAAAAAAAGAGAAATTGTTTGAGCAGAAACTATTGTGAACCTCGTTCAAGTTGATTTCGGCGTTCAGCAATCTTTTTGGTCAGTTCAATTGATTTAGCCCGAAGTTTTTCTAACATTTTGGCGTTCATTTCCTGGAAATCCTTGTATTGTTTACGTGCCGAATTTCGTTCGATGACCAATCTGATCAAGAATTCATCGTTTGGCTGCTTATTTTCATAGTCATTTTTCTCGTCTTCATCGAGCAACGATGCCACTGTCAAACGCTGCCCAACATTCGATCGACGAGACTGGCGAGACTGAAAGCAAATTTACACAAAAAATGAATGAAAACATCAAAAAAAAAAAATACACAAACACATCATTTCTCTGATGAAATACAACATGAATTCTCACCATTTCAAATCACTTTCGATCGATACGAACAATTCCAGCAGCCAAACTATGGTTGTGTTTTACGTTGAATTATTGATAATGACAGTTGCAAAGTAAATATTCAGACTGTGCTATTCTCTCGGTGGTGCGTGAAGGAATGGCCCATTTTTGACACAGTAATCTCAATTATTCAACGACTCATCTCATAATTTATGACATTACCACTTTCAAATGCGAACGGTGATAGAAGAACAACAATGCAAACTGTCAAAGTTACGATGAATGGAATGAATTGTGCTATCACCGGTACATTTCCATTGTATAGCAGTATTCAAACAGCAATGTATAAGCAAATGAAACAGAAATAGATGTCTCAACCAAAGATACACTAAATTTGTAAAGAACTTGGTTTTTTTTTTAAACCAAAAATACACTCGGCAACTTCAACAATTTGAAGAGACATCAATTCGTGATAAAATGATTTATCAATTTGAATTTGATAGCATATCTTTTCGTAGCTCATGCGCACGAATTCGCATCGTTTTCTGCTCCCGTAGTCTATGGGATTTGTCAAGATTGGCAAATTGCATGTGCAAAATGTAAACAAATCAAAGTAAATTTGTGTGTCTGTTCGTAATTTCTTCATTAACAATTCAATACGTGAAAAAGGTGAACGTGCCGACGATTTTCTTGTTTATTCAACCATTTACCCAACCAATTAAAAAGAAAATGATGATTTATAAGGAGCTACTTATGGTTTATTGCTTGATTTGTTTGAGTTGGTTCCTTTGTTTGACTAGTAATGTTGAATCGTTTACAGTGAAAAATGTGCGTGGACGTGATTTAGCAGGTAGATTTAGCCAAATTGATTGCACAATTTATGACATTTACATCAATGTGACTCGAATTTCTTTGCAAACTATTTTAGGTGATAGTAACTTTGAATTTGATTTACTCAATCAATCGTCTCGATTCAAAAGCAATGTATTTACGGAAAATCGAGACTCAGACATGTTAGTGAGGCTTGCTTATCGTACATTCCCAAAATCGGTTCGCGAATCGACAATTGTTGCAACGGTTCAAATGAACAACACCAATGGCGGCTATTTATTTAGCATTTTGAATCCACTCGGTACTGTGGTGCAATTTGGTCTTGTTCTGGTGCCAACCAATCGATACATTTACAATGTATCGCTAATTTATACCGATGCCAAACTGCATTTGAACAGCCAGAATTTGGCTACGTTTCAAGTGCCAGCGTTCAAAAATGAAACCACCGTTGGCGTTAAAGTCTTTCTGAACAAAGTGACATTGTACCTCAATTGCCACGAAGTCCGATCGGTGATTGTGAACAATGTGGATCCAGTGGAAATTAAAATCGATTCAGACTCTCGACTGTATGTCGGAAGTGCTGGACCATTTTCACCAAATAGGTTCGATGTGAGTTAATGCAACGCTTGGATTTTGAATTACATTTTTGAATTCTTGTTTTTGTTTGTAAATTAGAATGAATAATCTTAATTAATTTGACTGACTTTTTAGGGCAAAATTATATCATTGAAATTGTACAGCGATCCGGAAACCATGAACAAAGTGTGCGCAGGGAATATTTGGGTAAGTTTGAACTATTACACCGAATAGTAGATTTGGTTTGGATTTTTTCTTGAAATTTTCTCCTTATAATTTTTCAGGCTGATCGCCCGATGCTATTCACTATGCCACCAAGTTTCTACACAACACCACCAATTTTGACTCCAGCCACCTTGCCGCCAATACCCTTCATCGAAGATGAACTTAACAATTTCCCTGTTACTGAACCGGCCGATATATCAACAGTCACACCGAAAACCAAGTTCTTTGTGAGTCGAAATGAAATGGAAATTGCACCAGGAAAGAAAATGATTGAAATGTGTAAAACACTTTTTTATTGATTTCATTTTATTAGCTTCGAATTGCAGCATTGAATGAACCTTACTCAGGAAATTTGCACGGGACAAGAGGTGCAGATTTTTCATGCTATCGTCAAGCGGTTCGCGCTGGAGTGGTTGGCTCTTTTAAATCATTTTTATCCACGCGGTAATTTATGGACTCTCGCTTACTTAGAAAAAGAGAACATTTTAGGTGTCAATTAATATGTGATATCAATTAAAATTGTGATTGCTTACAGAATTCAAAGTCTTCAAGGGCTCGTCAGCTATGCACATTGGGACGTTCCAATTGCAAATATCAAAGGCGAGATGATATTCCGTTCGTGGAAAGATTTATTTGATATCAATGGTGAATTTTCTTATCAATCGCCACGATTGTACAGCTTCAACGGTCGAGATGTGTTGCATGATAGTACATGGTAAAGTGGAATTGTTGCAATTCATGCATCAAGAATCCAATTCTTATTTCTCGTTTCATTGTCATCTCAAGGCCCCGAAAGCAAATCTGGCACGGTTCAAACATCAACGGAGACAAATCGATCGAAAGTTTTTGCGGTACTTGGGAATCGATTGGCATGGATAAAACTGGTATGGCCGGTAGTTTATCGCTTCGAAGGCTCATAAACAACGAAAAAGTGTCATGCAAAGATGAATTGATTGTGCTCTGCATCGAAACAATCCCAAGAGAATTGAATGACCTGCCTGTGAACAATTGAACAAGGCTCAATCAAAGAAACAAAACAATAATAATCTAGCTGTCAATTCAATTGTGTCAATTATTTAATCAATAGCTGCTCAAACAAACAGAAAACATATCATATGTGTAAATGATATCATCCGTAACTTTATTTAAAAAATAAAATGTTATGGCCTCCTAGCGCGTGTACAATGTAAATTCTAATGCTTATTCTTTGGTTAAATTTTATTTCCTTTTCAGACTGAATGAACTCAAGAACGAGTATTAATCGTATCGAAATAAAATAAAATACAAAAAAAAATAATAATTAACAAAGACTGATTTTCTAATTAAACGAAAATTCAGTTTGTTTCATCCAAAATTGACGGGGGATGGTGTGCAATTTCTTGTTATTTAGGCTGAAATCGGTTGAGATTCATCTTCTTCTTCTGCTTCGTAAATGACGTCACAGTTGAGAATTGGTTTTTTCATTTTACGTGAATGGGTTGGTGATTGTGGTGCAACTGGTTGCATGTCTTGCATCATTTCGTTTTGATCATAGTTCAATTGGTCGTACGTTTTGCCACCATTTTGGCGCATTTGCATTTTACGTAATTCCTCAGTCAATAGACGAAGGTCTTTGTCCTGCGCTTCAATGATGCTTTTTAGCTCTTCAATTGTGCGAATATCTTCGGCACGCGGCTCACGCCGTTCATATCGAATTCGCATCTCATCAAATCTAGTACATGGCAAATGAAAAAGAGAATTAACAAATCAAATGCATCGGTCACTTGAAATAATTGGTACGCACAATTGAGTAAGGCACCGGCATTTTCTGTGCAGCGTTTCAATTTCCTGAGAATTTTGAAGATCACGCTGTTCTAAACTTGACCGTTCCATGGAGTGGGCATTCTGTAAGTCTTTGATCTCGCGTTGATGGAGAATTTCAATATCGCTGTCCAAAATACAAAGAAAAAGGAATAATCGGTTTTCATTAGGAATTGAAGTCAAGAAAGAGATTCATTTTCAACATTTCGACTCATGATGCAGCAAAAAAAAAAAATGTAAACAATGGGGGAAAACGAATGTAAAATCCTGTTCATTACCGCATTTTCACGTCGGCATCCGACAGTTTTCTCTTGTAGTTTCGTTGCATGTCTATTTGCTCTTCTTCTTTGTCTGCCTTGAATTTCTCGTAATTCAATTCTATGCACACAGAAAGAAATAAAATTAAACAATTTTCTCGAATTTCATTGTGATGCCAGGTAATTCTTACCATAGTCTCGTTTTAATTTAGCTATCATTTCAGACTTGGTGGTGCTCAGCTCATCTGAAGACTTCTTCTTGATTTCATCTATTTTGGCTTCAAACTGTGCTTTCAGTTCAGCCTCGCGCTCTTCAAACTCGGACCTTAGTTTATCTGAAAATAAAATTGTCATGAATAGTAGGGTCAATGATGTTTGATAAAAATTCATTGCATTTATGGCTAAACTTCGAGTGAAAAGAAAAAAACTAAACTGAATTCACGCTGGTGACCCTGTTCGGATTTATTTAGAATCATGCGAATTTGCATAATTTGCTTATCAGCTTTCTCATTTGCTTCGTCCAATCGACGATTCCGGTCGACCAGTTTCTCTTTGATGGCCTCGATCTCATCTTGCAGTATTTTCTCACGAAAAGCAAACGATTCCTTCAACTGATTCACATCATCTATATGCTCTTTTTGTGCTTTTTGCACGGCTTCCATGCGCTCTTCAGCAAAACAGATCTCCAGCTCATCTTTCAAGCGTATCATCTCATTTCTGTAAAATGATTAAATGATCAACTGGTTTGACCATTTTGTTTTACATTACAAACAATTGAAATACGTACAATATTCGGTCTTCCCACATCGATGCCACTTCATAGCGCACTTCATCGATTTTCGCAATCATTTCCCGGTCTTTATCACTCAAATCCCTGCAAAGTTTATTAAATTGTTTAATTCAAATCCAAACTGATTTCGATAAATCAAATTTTAAAACTTACGAAGCAAATCGAACAGCCATTCGGTGAATCTTATCGTTTGCCTCTTCAAGTTGACTAGTGGCTTCGTCCAGCCTTTCTTTTATCTCTTCTAGCTGCTGCGTCAAATAAGCAATGGAATAACGTTGCTCGTTTGATAGGCCACGTAATGCCGCCAATTCGGCTTCAGTTGTTTTTAAATGCTTCATCTGGTCGAAAAGAAATAAATGATAGTTTTGGTTTAATTTTTCCTCAACCGAAGCGTAGATTTGGTTAAATCCAAAGTTTGGAACTAGAATTAAAAAAAAAATTTGGTGATTTTGGAATTCAAACACACTTGGTCCTGTTTTGCTTTTGTATCAACGGCCAATTTTTCCGATGTTTTGATTGCCTCCTTTTTCGCTTGTTCCGCTGCATTGATACGCTCCTTACAAGCTCTCTCTGTCGATCTTATCTTCCACTCACAGTCCTGTAGCAAAAGTTCTTCGCGATCTGAAAGTCAGTCGGCAATTTGACGGAAAAAAATCTCATTTATAAAGAAAGTAAATCTCAGAAAATTGAATCTCGTTAAAAATGTGGATTCATTTAAGCTTTCCTTTCGAAATTTGCTTCAAAAATGACATAATTTATGGCTTATGTACCTGAGTTAAGTGTTCGCAACTGTTCAAAATCCCTCTGCCATTTCGCATCGTTTTCGGCCCGTTCGATGATCGCCGCATCCAATGCATCCTGTAGTGCTTGACGTTCGACATCTCGTTCGCCGATCAATTTTTCCTTTTCAGCTCGCAAATCAGCCAAATCATTTTGCGCCGAGCTCAATTGTACTTGCAACGATATGGCCAGTGATTGCATTTGGTCAAGCTTTTGTTTGAGTTCGATGTGATCGGATTGAAGATTGTCTACAAATTGGAATTGTGTTTGATTAATTTCTTCCGAATTTGCATTAAATCCAAATGACAGCAAATTGTTGATAAATTCAATTCAATTCTATCATTTTCAATCTAGAATGAATGTGGAATGCTTGAAATGTGGAAAGATCATTTTCACTTCGACTTAAAGGCATAGTGCCGTTGATTGCTTACTAATTTTGATATTGAAGTCATCCTCTTGCTCCGAGTATTTTGCCCGATTTTTATCTATTTCATCCTCCTGATGTTTCAATTTGTCTTTGACACAGTGCAATTCCTTATATGCCGCTTCTAGTTCGGCTTGCAAACCTTTGACCAAATTAAACAGAAAACCAAAATATTTGTATTTTTTTTTCTTCAAATTTTTATTACAAAATGACGGATTTTCATTGAAGAAATTGACGAAATAGAAAATCGAATTGAATACTCACGTTCGACATTCCATGATTTCACCGTTAAATCTCGCTCAAGCTCACTGATTTTGTATGTTAGATCGGCGATTTTTTGTTGACACTCAGCAACATTGGTTTTGGCTTCATTGAGCTGCGCCAATAGGTTAAGTTCATGTTGTTTCCTTCGATACCAAAAATAAACGCGCTTTTGTTAATATGCTCGGAAAGAAATTTTCGAATCTGACATACAAATCATAAAATTAACTCAAAGGTCTCAATCATTTTCAAGTGACCGAATGTGTGAATGCCATCAGTCGCATTCATGCAAAGTTGAAACGGACAGAGCTATGAATGTTTATGAGATCTCGATCCAAAAATAGTTTCCAGTATAAATAGTTGTGATAATTTTATATGTTCAATCAAGCGGTGAGCGAAATGTTGCTGAGGGAAAAAATGACCGAAATTTCGATGTTTTGAATGCAAATCGAAAATAAATTGTTATGCAATTAAACAGAAACACGACCATGCGCAAATCATTTCTCCTTTGATTTCGACCAAATCGTCTGAAACACATTCCAGTGTGTGAGTGTGTTTTTAAATTGCTTTGCGATAGAAAAAAGAATCAAACATTTCTTTCATGTTCCGTGCTATTGAGTGCGACTGTTCTATAAATCGCCTTGTGGCGATCGCACTCTGTTTCTCTTTTCTCGATAAAAATAGAGAAGAAATTTTGAAATTGTGAAAGCAACCTTGAAAATCAAACATGACACGCCAATCATCACTACACAGGATTACTACGCACTTCAAAACTAGCGTGTACGCGTGGCGTCATTGTTATGGCTATATAATTGCTTGAGATTCGACGGAAATTCGTTCAATAGAATCCGTAACGAAGAAAAAAAATCGGAGGCATCGAACAAAATAAGTAAGTGGCGCCGGAAAGAAATATTTTAATTTGGAATCATGATTAACACGTGGAACATAACAAATTTCTATGATTCCGAATATTGGTATCATTTTTGTATGTGGCTTTTTTTCGTATGTTTTGCGTTGTTGTTGCTTGTACGTTTCGCACGATCATTGATCGTTCTATCGTGTTGTACACATGGCCTAAAAATAAATCTTTTTCCTATTTGCTTACACACACAAATCGATTAGTTCTGAGAGACGATCTCCCGGCTTCGTAAGTGGCCCATGAGAGGAAGACAGAGCGAAACGACGGCAACGACGGCAACGACGACGACGACGGCAACGAAGGCAACGACGACGACGGCAACGACGGCAACGACGACTCGCATGAAGTGCGCAAGCGGCTGTGTGCTTTCGTTCCGTTATTAGATCGTGCTCAAGTTATCGTCAGCATTCAACAATTTCGTTGACGTTCGAACGATATAATCCCATCATTATGTTCGCAAATATGTGTGCTATGATTTTCTTCATTTCTTCGCTCATGTACACACCATCGACGCGTACGTCTACATTTCATATTATTGGCAGATGATATAACTTCTGTTTCTTTTTCTTTCTTTTTCAAAGCATATTCAGATGGTTGATGGTGTTGGCATTAGGCAGCAGAGCGCGCATAAACAACATTGTTGTCTATAATTTGCTTATAACTCTGATGAAAATCGTGCATTCTATGCACTTTTGCTCTCTGGCCAGCAGTGCCGAGTTAACCAAATTTGGTGCCCGAGGCAAAAATGATTTTGGTGCCCCTTGCAATTTTTTCCCGTTATATATACAAATAATTATTGATAAAATGAACGTACATATCAGATGCGAGCGGTAGGGAGCAAAATTTTTTTTTAGGAATACCATTTTTGGGGCACCAAAAACATTTTTGGGCCCATTTTTGGCTGCGTGTTTTCTTTTTCAGATTATAAAAAAAAAAAAAATCCATGCTTGTGGTGCCCCCAAGAACGTGGTGCCCGAGGCAACTGCCTCATTTGCCATATGGCTAACTCGGCACTGCTGGCCAGAGTATATAGTTTTCGGTATATCACTACTTTTCCGCTCATGATCGTGCGCTCATGATCGTTCATTCTTATTATTGTTATTAATTTTATTCGTTGTTCGGTCTCTATAAAAATAAATTACAGTTTGAATCCGAATTTGAGTCGTTCGTTTCAACGTAAAATGTGATAAAAACAAGAGAGACACGAGCAGCGATACATACACACACACACACACTCTATTGCAATAATGTATCGCGCACACAAAGCGAAAAGTACGCGTGCAAATATCGCGAGAAAAGGATGAGCATGAAAATATTCAAATGTCGACGTTTTGTAAGTGGCCGAGACTACATTAGATACAGTCGATCGAGAAAATATTTAATTTGAATTACGTGCCCCGTACCCATCTCTCTAGCTCCACTTGAACATGTTTCTAAGCCAACATTTTACGCCAGATAAAAATGCTGACTCCTGTTTGTAAAATGAACATTTTCCGAGTAGCAACGGCGATCGAAATTTTTGCGCACTGAAATTTTCCCAAACTGCGTGTACAAAACGTGTGGTCGGCGGGACCGTGTTTGAATCACATCAAATTATTAACCAATATTTTCGCAGAAAAAAAGAGACGTAGAAAAAAAATAACCAACACAAACTCTGGTTTCATTTCGTACCTGAACTAAAAATATTCTCGTATTCGATGCGAATGAAAGAAGGAGAGAGAGTGTATGAGAAAAAAACACTTCACGACGGCAAAAAATGAATGGGAAAACACTTACGCCTCGTTGTGGACGTTGTTTTGGCTTTCGTTTGATTCATTTTTATTGCCAATGTTCAATACGCCTGGATATAATAGTTTTTCATTTGGACTCTTCTCGGCTTCTTCATCCTGTAATTTTAAGAGCATTTTTGTCAATATTTTATTGCGAAAATAAAAAATTTAAAAAAAAATTGACGATGATATCATTTCGATTGAATGTGAATGGCATAAAGGACAACTTACATCAGTCAAGTCGGCAGTTTCATCGTCGACTTCGAGGCTTTCATCAAAACTATCGCTGATCGTGCCCGTTTCTTCTTCGTTGCTGCTCCAGCTGTCCAAGGTATTGTCGTTGACAACAATTTTCGGTGGGCTACGCGATAGAGGTATCGGTTTTTTACTACCGTGATTTGCACTGAGAAGCGTTGAACCGACAACAATATCGGGCAAATGCATTGCATCGTCTGAATACTTTGGTGGGTATTGCTGCTTTTGTTGCTTCTGCTGCAGTAGCATTGATTCGGATGATTTATCGTATGCATTACTACTACCTTTAACGCTACTAATGTTATCGTTGACGATCTTTCGCGTCGACTTATTATTATCACTATGTGGCTGCTGTTGTGACGGCGTTTTTTTCATTAATTCATGTTCATTAACTCTACTATGACTATGGCTTAGAGGTTCCGTATTTTTATTGATTGCTTGGCTTAAATTTATTGGCTTATTGGCGTTAAATCGTTGTGGTTGGCCATCAATTGAGACGTGTATCACATCATTGTTGTTGCTGTCATTGTTTAGGCGATTTGGTTTTGTGTGCTGCACCGATTTTTGTGAACCGTTGACGTTGACGCTTGAACTATTTTGATTTGATTTAAATGCATTGGCTGTATTTTGATTGGCATTGTTTTCGGTGACGCTATCGTTGCTCAAACTGCCATCGGCCGACACCAATTCTTCCTCTTCTTCTTCTTCTTCCTCTTCTTCAATTTCCTCTATCTCCTCTTCGATTTCCTAGAAATTGTGATAGAAAACTCTCACTAATGCAAATTGTTCCTAACTCAATATACGTGCGCACTGCACTTTCAACTCACCTCTTCTTCAATTTCCTCTTCGATTTCCTCATATTCGCTGCCACTCTCGCTCTCCTCCACGATTTCAACAATGTCGATCGCCTGAGACGATACATTTTCCGCTTCTTTCGTATTATCCCGTAGATCGCTCAATTTGATTGCAGTTGAGTCATCTGCAAAGCTAACGAATGGCTGTTGCGTCAGATAGTCGGATTGCGTATTGTTTGTGCTCAATCCAACCTCCACAATTTCAATACCGAGCGAACCGGTTATACTGTTCGATCGTCGTCGACCATTAATCGTCCGAATGCCATCGATTTTATGGTCTGTACTATTTTTACGAAATTCCGGAATCGATTGTAATTTTCCGGTTGGCCGTTGTTTGAACAGTGTTTTCACTTCAATCACCTTGCCATGCTGATCGATCACCGTCTCTTCGATGTCACTTAATTCAAGAGCATCATCGCTATTGTAACTGTCCACGCGATACAATACGTTTTGCTCCATTTGCGCACTATTCTCACAATTTTCGCTTAATTTTGGTTTAGACACGCCTGCACCCGTACAATCACGTTGTATTTGGATTTTTTCACTTGCTGACACTGAACTCTTTTCACATTGATCCACATCATCATTTGTCACACAACAACGTTCACTACTATCATTTTCACTTGATGGAACGGCAGATGAGGCGGTTGATATTGTGACTGTGGCTGTTGCTTCTACTGTATCACGTATGGTGACGTCAATTTTGTCATTTTTTAATGGTATTTTTGGTATTTTTGTATCAGTTTTATGGTTGATGTTGTTTATCCCATTCGAAACTGATTCGAAACGAGTAACTTTACTGCTACCATTCACATTTTCCGTGACCGGTCGTGTGTATTGTGTGGTGGTAACTGATTTTCCGTCGTTCGTAACAAATACGGTCGAATTTATTTCACCGTTCAAATCGGACGACGTTTCATAAAAAACATCCTTGATCTCGTTCGCCGTCTCCGCCGTCGTCGTCGTTGTCGTCGTCGTTGCCGCCGTAGTTCCACTATGCTTTGGTTCTGGTTCTGGCTTTGGCTTTGGCTCTGGCTCTGCACCGGATTGTTTTGATGACGTTTCGGATTCTAATATTTCATTTATTTCATTCGAAAAATTAATTTTATTTTTATCATAATGCGGCGCTTCGGCTGCTCTTGCCGTTGCTTTTGCTGCTGCGTCATGGCAAATGTTAGCTGTGGCTGCTGCTTTTTGGTCGGCACACACTTTTGTTTCGGCCGTCTTCCCATAGTTTGTACTCTTTGTGTGATTCGCGTTGTTTTGTTGTTTCGATTTGTTGATCGTATTCGTGGATGGAGATTGTCCCATGCTGGTTGTTTTATTGTAACATGGAACGGGCTGCTGTGGTTGTTGTTGTTGATTTTTGGAGCGTTCGGTTTTGTGAATGTGATTGGTTGAAAAGATAGACGACGAATTTTCCAGCTGCCGGGACCTGTCCTGCTGCTGTTGCTGCTGTTGTTGTTTCTGCTGCTGTTCAGCTGAGGGTATTCGCTTTGAATCTGTCTCACAATTTACGGTGACATTGGTTTTCTGAACGTCACCAATATTTTTAACAGCGTTGTTCACTTCATTATTATTTGCGTCTGATCTGGATGAGATATGATTATTAGTTTGAGGCGTCAATTGCTTGCATTCGCTTCGGTTCAGATTATTCTTGCCTTCGTCGTCGTCGTTGTCGTTGACGTCGTTGTCGTTGTCGTCGCCGCCGCCGCCACCGCCATCGCTGCCGATAAATGAATCTATTTCGATACATGAATGCAACGGCTGTGTCTCCTCAGCGAATGGGCTATTTTTGATAACTCGCTCATTCAACGGACAAAGTATCTGGTCGTTTTCGTTGTTCGCAACGGCGTCAATCGGTTGGTTGCGGTTGTTCGCTTGACAATCGCTTGCGTTGGTTGAGCCGCTTTTCATTTGATTCGATTTGAGGCCTACGATGTTATTATAATCAATTACGCGCTCATTTTCGTTGGTGTTAAAGGTTTTGCTGTGAAGAATTTTGGCGTTTTGCTGATTTTTCATGTTATTCTTGGTGTCGTGCAATTTGCGTTGCAGTTTTTCGTCGTAGCCGCCACCGCCATCGCCTTTCAAACCATGTTCACTTTTAATATTCACATCGAATGACACAGGAACTGATTTATTATGTTCGGCGGTTGTTTCATTCGAATGGAATTCGTTATGCTGACCCTTTTTAACAGTTGGCTGACGTTGGATTTTCCCATGCTGTGGCTGTTTATCGCTTTGCAAATGAACCTTTTTCAAATGTGATTGCTGTTGCTGTTGCTGCTGCTGCTGCTGCTGAATTGGCTGCTGACTGAGTTTGTTTTTGCGCCGATTCTTGCCCATTTTACCAATGATCCCGTTCACAAAACTCGAAACACGCTCACTAACTGACGATGATGATGTTGAGCCCGTTGTCAGTCGCTCAGCATTTGATTCGTGCTCAATTAATCTATTTTGGTTGGCGATATCCAATGGTTGATCACCCGATCGTAATCGATACGTATCGATTGCGCAGGTTTCGCTATTGTCATTTTCATTTTGTTGACAGCTCGTTATCGGCACTTTGGCCGATCGCTTGAAAAACGGCATATTCTGTGCTGGTCCACCGTTTTGTCGCTGTGTTTTCGTCGCTCACGCGAACGCCTCTCCCACTGTTCTTGTTTCTTTTTCCTCAATTAAGTGGCTCTTTCTTTTGTTGTTGTTTATGTTTTTCCCTTCATCATCATTGTAATTGAGGTGAGATTTGGATTGAGAATTTTAAATTGCTCACAGCCGTGTCATCATTATCATGCACTGAATTTTCCGTTTCACTTGATTTAATTCGGTTTTGTAACGAATTTCGAAGCAACTTCCAAATTGAGAGAGACAAAGAGCTTAAATTACGTTCATTAACAATCATAATTATTCGATGGAATTTACAGGAAATTTTTTTGTTCGGTTTTCAGCACATCACTGTTTCATTTTAATGAGAGAGAGAGAGAGTGAGAGAGAGAGAGAGAGATGCTCAACGGTTCAATATCACAAATTAACTCAATTTCACTAGCGATCAAAATGTACAAAATTTTTCAAATTCCGTCACAACCGTTATACCACGTCACTCCTCATTTTCACTAATTCCGCACACGCTTCGACGGAATTAAATGAAGAGAAGTAAAACCAGAGGGGAAAAAAACATGAATGCGGTTTAAAACAGAAAAATGCGAGTATCAATAACAATCAACGACACACAACAAAAATCAATAGCACGATATAAATTGATGCGGATCTACTGCATGTTTAATGTGCGGCTCTTCATTTGTTCTCATTCGCGTTTTCGTGTAATTCGATTTGTTCCTCTTTTTTCCTCTCGTTTCTTTGGTTCAATTCAATTTCGTTCGTTTGGTTGATGCTTTTTCTCGATGCGCGCTTCAATTGAATAAGTAAATTATAATATATTTTTGGACCGGGTAGAAATGCAACAACACGCACAGGCACACACACAAAACAGTTATTTCGTATAGAAAGGAATGGTCGAGACGCGCACACGCTTTTCCCCTTTCTCACTCGGTTAATGCATTTTTGCACCTGATCAAAGAGCAGGTTCCGCAGCCTATGCCAACAACTTTGCTATGCTTCAGTTTGTTGTAGCCGAGAAGAAAGAGTTTATCTTCATCGTTGCGTTGTTGTTCACCGAACTGATCTCGATCGTTCACTTTGCGCCGTGCATATGTGTACACACACGCTGCATTTTGAAACACAGCAAAACAGAAAACAAATAAACAGAGAATCGAATCAAATCGCTAGCTTGGCCTAGTGATGTGGAAATCGAATAAATTTTTACAAACGAAAAAAAAAACGAACCGCAATCTACAAACAAAAATATACGGTGTCGCCGTTAGCCAGTACAAAAGAGAAATGCCTGGCTTGCTCGAAAAGTCCTCGAAAGAAAATTACGCTTCAGATATCTGTTTTGCGCGCGTGACATTCGCAATCAGTATGAGCGAACCGAATGTGCGTCGTGACTGGTGTTTTTTTGCTGTGCAAAAGAGACAGAGGGAAAATACGAATCCGAACAACCATCCAAACCGGAACACAAATAATCGTATTTCATTAAGTTGAAATTATTGCCAAATGATGATCCGACACGGAGACGACAGAGTCGCTCTCGAAACAGATATGTTCATTTGCGGCGGGTGTTTTCAATTCGTTTTTTTCTGCTTCTTTACAATATTTTCGAAGCGACGTTTTCGAAAAATCGACTCAAGTGGATTTGCCTGTGTTGGCTGTTAATTATGTGTATGTCTCTCTGCTTGAAAATTAATTTTCAAAACTCATAAGATGAAATTACACCGATACTCATTAGATGTTGTTGCTTTTGTGTTTTTTCGCTGCCGGTCTCGACAAATGTATTTTTTCACGCTGCCTTTCATATTTCATTTTGTGGCAGTTTTTTTTTTGCCATGCTCTTGTTGTTGTTGCTGTTTGTCAGTTATGACGTGTGTGCGCGCAACCTGAATCATTTTCCTACTTCTGCCAAATGACATCCATGATTTAAACGAACAAGAGAAGAAAAAAAACAGACAAAAAACACTCAACTCATTTCACAATATTTCGAACGCAATAACGGTATACATTTGTAAAAATTAACAAGATCGTAGGTGGATGAAGGATGAAAATTACTGTTACAACTGTGAGACTTACACTCGACGACATGAACAAATGAATGTTCAGAACAATCCTAACGCCACTAATTACAATAAAATGGCAATCGCTGCAAATAATTACAAGTTGACCGAATAATTCATGCATAAATGGAAAATTACTTGAGATAAAGGTCGATTTTCCTCTTGAAATCCCAACACAGTCAAAATCTCATTCATTGAAAACACAGTACGATGATCTCTCTTGAGTGTTTTTTTTCTTCTCAAATACGAATTGATTTAAAACGAAGAAAGAAAAACACACACAAAAGAAGAAGACAAATGTGGAAAACGTGCACACAAAAAACTGCGTCGTGTTTTGGTTCACAAAACGCTCCTTTGCACGCATATTCTGTTTTTCGTTGTGACATTTGTCGTTTTTTTTTCATACCACGGCTGTAAAACGTTTATATTAATGATATTGAACATATGCTTATGGGTTTTTATATTGATGTTTGAACCATTCGGTGGTGGGCTGAATCGCTTGATTGTGATAAAAACATTTATCTTGAGCGCGAATTCAAAAGCAACATCTAAATTCATTGATCATCACTCTAAATTCCGACAAATCATCAATGTCCAATGGTTTAATTTTTCGTTTTTATTACACCTCATGATTGATCTTGATGAACTCATAATATATTTTGTTTACTATGGAAATATCATTGAAAACAAATTGCGACTCTTAATCATGCAACTCAAATCGGTTTTGTTTTTCAAACCAAGTAAAAAAAAAAATACTGCATTTAAAGTGTGAATCATTTTATTATATTTATCATGTCTTTTCTATGTGAACAGCTACAATATTTCCAGACATACGAGTGCTACCGTCATCTGTTTCGCACTTTTGGTAGTTTAGATATCCTTCGATAAATAATCCATCGTACCGTGCCAAATGACGGCGTATGTAATTTTGCACATTACGATCGTAAACAATAACAGTGTGCGAGTGTTGAACCATTTGTCCAGTGAATCCAATATCAGCGTCTCTGTCGAAAGGTAAAACAAAAAAATAGCAAGAAATTGATGTGAATGAAGAATATTGTTTTTCGAAATATTCTCGATAAATCACGTTTTGAACAAAGGTTAAACTGGGAATAAAGTTCAATGTCTTCAAAAAAAAAAAATAGATGCGCCAAATGAATTTGTCATAATTTACCTAACTGGAACATGTGTTCGTAGGCTGAACATGGTTAAATTTTCCTGATGCCAAATCGGTGACTCTATATGAGCGGTTAACATTACAATGCACATATCCTGCACAGACTCCGCTTCATCGTTGTACAATTCGATACTGTGTGGCATAATCGAAATGGCTCGTCTCATTTTACCGTGAGACGTTTTGAATGGTATTGATCGAACATAACCATTGATATTAAATTTTTGACCTCGTTCTAAGCCTGTGATGCCGGTCGTTTCAAGCAATCTCTTGGGAAATGTCACCATGTGACTAATTCTATTGGTAGAAAATAGATAAAATCTTGAGTAATCTCATCATATGACACACATTAAAAATGTAAACAAAATCTGGTTCATGATTTTGTCCAAGGATTTTCAACGATTAATTTTCTTGTGAAACGAGCAATTCCTTGTATTTTTTTTTCTCAATCTTACATGGGTGTTGAATGTCATTCAACGCCACTAAGCTGTAGATATCTCTCTCCGGCTATACGGTAAACAACAGAACCAACACTGAACATGAAAATGACATGTTCAATTGTGTTTGTTTCGTTAGTTTCAACTGTGCCGCTACGAGAGGTCACTTTTGTCGTTTCTTTTTGTTATTTTACATATAAAATCAATGGTATTAGACGAGGATGCAATCTGATATGAAATATGAATTAGTCATGAGGAAAAACGAAAAAAAACGCACGAAAATTGTTGGCCACTTTCGTGTTGGCATCTTTGAACCACTTTGCAAGATTTATCACCATTCAACAAGTCTACCGTGTCACTCCAGGCGGATCCAATCAATTTAACGAAATTCGTCTCTAAAATTGAATAATGATATTTTGGCAGCAATGTTAAAAAAAGTCTACTGACTGAAAAAATATTCAAAACATTAACAATTCAAAAGGGGATTTGGTTCTGTGTTGTTGAGCAATAAGAAATAAAAAACTAATTCTAATTGACGGAGAAACGCATGAAAAAAAAAATAAAAAAAATTCAAAGGAAATGTGTTACCTGGTTCCGTTTCATCTATATTGTATGGGGCTGTTGAACATTTTCTACTAGAAAATCCAGTCAGAATGCGTTGACCGGCGATCGATCGGTATATTCGAAGCATTTCTCACAATGTGTTTACTTTCGCAAATAAACGTCAAACTCCTCCTTCGGAGGAGAGCTGTCACATTTGACAGTTCTTTGTTATTGTTAGATTCCATTAAAACCGTTTCGAATTTTTTATTCAACACCCATCCAAATGATTTTTTCCAATTTTTGTTTCAAAAACCTTTCCAGACAAAAAAAAACACACACATCATTTTCATAATAAAACATAAAAAGATTTTATTGAATAACAAAATTCTGCAGAGAGAGAAAATGTTGAAAAATTGATAACAATTACATTGGTTCATAAGTTGCTCCACTGAGTGGTGTAAAAATATATTTGAACACTTGGGTGTCAAACCGTCAATTTCAATTGATTAGTTCAATGGAAATGTTGGTCGTTGCTTTGACACTTAAAATAAATGGGCTTTCTTGGGCGGGTAAGTATGTGGATGGTATGATGTTGTAGGTACCAGCAGGCATATCATTTAGATCGAGCACACAATATCCCGAGCGATAATTGCCGGTTGTTTTTGAAACAAATGGTGCCGTTACAGTTGGATCGTCCAGTGAAGCAACGGTTATTTCGAATCCAACCTGATAGACTTTCGGTCCACGCAACTCAATGACTAAATTGCTTAAATCTTTCGGACCAAGTTTTAAACTATATCTTGGATTATTTCGATATGTTGCCGGATGATTTTGACAACCACCAGCACGGTTGCCTTTCCATTCACCATTCACCGTTTGTTTGCCAATATACGTGCTTGGAATCGCCTTGAATTCAAATGGATTACGTGAGTATGCTCGAAGTGTATAATAAATCGTTGTTGTTTTCTCATGTTGAGACACGACCAGTGTGTAACTGAAACACGTAAAATGAAGAGCATTTTTAGTTGAAAGTGGTAAATGTTGCAAAAAAAAAAATCAAATCAATAGAAAAACATTCAATTTCAGCTTACTTCTTCTCTTGACTCGGATCCAATCGAATTTTGCACAAATAATGCGGACTATTGATTCGAACTCCGTCGATATATGGCGGCGGATCATCTAAAAAGTGAAGAAACAAAATTTTGAAAATGAAATGGGAATAAAAGTACTTTTATTCGGTTTTTTTTCTCTCGCATGAGCTAAAACTGAATTGTGAACTTACATGGGTAATAAATTCGTTTGCCACCGTTTTGATAGACTAAAAGTGTAATGTACTCATGATTCTCCCTAAAATCTTCAATCGATGTGATGTGTCTTGTTAACAAAACCCATACTGATCCAGTGCCAGCGCCGATACGCAAACTGAATTGCGGATTATCACCAATGGTATAGGCATCTTTGGTTGGTCCAACGCCCGCATTCCATGATCTATTGAGTCAATGGGCCAGAAATTTATTCATTTGGAATAAGTGCGTTTGACATGTGCTACTTCAGCAAAAAACACTTACGCATGAATGCAATATGTATTTTGAAATAGATTTGGATCCCAGTTTACGTAGAACACATCGAAGAAGTTCAAAATTGATCGATAATCTATCCAAAAGATGCCATTGTCAAACTGTTCGGCTAATTTTGGATTGTAGTTCAATGTCTCCTGTAGTTCCGGTGTCCAATGTACAGTATCCATCTCAGAATAATGACCCTTCCATCGCAGATGTGACCATGGATTTTTGAGTTGCAATAGTTTAACACCCTAACATTTGGATGGAAATCAAATGTCCGATATATTTTTGCTTTTCAATTTTCTCTGAAGCATCAGTGCTCTTATCTTGCGTCGACTTACATTGACTTCTCTCAAATTGAGAACAGCGTATGCATGGGCCGGAACCAATCCAGTTCGTTCAGCTTGGTCGTCGGTCAATTCACCGGTGGCAACGGTAACCAAACAACGTCCATGTTCCAAGGCAGTTTCAAGCCGATCAAAAACGGCATCTGCATTGAAAGTCTCCTCTTTCAAGCGAATGGCAATTCGTTCGGGTATCCAACCAGTTAATGCATGCAAATCGATATTCTAACGTCAAAAACCCAAAATTAAATTAGTTTAAAGAAAATATAATTGTGATGAAAAAGACTCGGCTTTCGAACCAATTTGAGTGATCTACTTACACTATTTGATCCTGGAAAATCATAACCGCCCATCACTTTCATGTAGGCTTTTTCAAGTAGGCTCACCCAGAACTCATTCTTGTTATTCGAATATGAGCAAAGCAATTGATTGTATCGACCGATCGGTAAATGATCATCGATTACGACTTTCCGTGGAATCCCATTGATATGTAGTTTAATCGAGTATTTACCGCTGGAATTGTAAATGGGTTCATTTTTCGAATTCCTGGGATAAATAATAGAGGTAACCAGAGCCTTTCCGAATCGTCTTTCATAGAGTGCAGACACAGCCAACGAAGCAACAAAGCTACAATCCGATATCACCGTTTGTTTGATACTGTGATAATCCACAAAATCGCCAACAATCAACTTTGGATTCTCACACAATTCACTGACTCGACGCCATTCGATGAAGTCACGCCTTTGTTTTGGTGCCAATGCCAAATAGCCATCCTGTAGCAATAGTATTAACAGAAATGACATCATTTTCATTTTTTTTTTTAAACTGCTTGATCTTATCGCTGAAACTGCACATTGTACATACTTTGTCGGTGAATGGAATTGAAAATACGAAACGATCTTTCAAATCGACATCCATGAAAGGCACAAATATATTCTCATTAACTTTCGAGGTATGATTGAGCACACGTTTCTCGTCCTCTGTGTATCCGGATGCGCCAATTGCTCGGGGCTTTGGAACAGGTCGATCGGTCTCCGGCTTCGCAATGTTTGTACCTTGAATTCAAAATTCATATGAAAAACATTCATTTAGACGCTGCACGACGTAAACAAAACAAAACCTACTTTGTACTCGCAAATAACTCGCATGACTATCGTCAATTTTTGCCACCTGTATTGGCGATGAAATGCCACGCAACTCTTCGGCCCGATCAAGTGCTTGAACGGCATATTTGTTGAAAAGTTCCCGTGTTTTCGGATCACCAATTTTCAATATGAATTCCACGGCTTTCATATACAATTCCACAGCTTGTTCCTTTTCACCGCGCTCATCAGCGTCGAGAGCTGAGCTCAAAATCTCATGCACAGTTTCCTTTTCCGACATTTCGAAATACTTGTTTGCTATTATCCTAAATTCTACTAAAACTTTCTAATAACTATCGTCTCAATTGGAAGCTAATCAGTTGCTTCAATAACCAATTTCATGGTTTTCCATTGATAAAACAACAAAGCTAACTCATATGCAATTGAATAAACTAAATAAATAATTACAATTGATTCTGTTCAATAATTTGGAATAAGTGTCTTTTCATGTCTTGGAACAGAAAAAAAACCCGTATCGTACTGCAAGCGATTTGGGCAATAAATAGCTTCACTTCAACGATTGACTCTCAATCGAATGGATGGCCAATCGCAGTGCGTTTTGTAGACAGTTCAGTTTATTTACATCTGAGCGTATTGGTTTACTCAGAAATGACATCATTGGAAATGTTACAGTCATCCGTTGGACTTTGCTGTCACTTTGACATACACACAACCGCCATAAATGTCACAAACAATAACATTGTGCATGGTTTACACGCACGACGTGTATGTCAATGTTTTGTCGACCGAATGCATTATATGATCAAAATTTAGAAATTTCAAGAAGAGAATCGTCAAAAAGCGGATAATTTTTAGATGGAAATCAATTTTTCTGATTCGAAACGAAATGCTTTGTGAACGTACAACTGAACCGTGAAATAAAGTGTGACTCTGAAACCAGGCTTAACATGGCATTTGTGCACATTTCACATGTTCGTTTACAATAATAAGTCAAAAGGCGCCAATAATAGACATACATATGTCATAGTGAAACCACATTTGTAAAAAGAGGAAAAAACTGTATGTGTGCGAAATACATATAATAACAAATCAATTAAATCAAACTCATTTCAATCATACAACAACAAAAACAACACGCACATAGAATATAAACGGCAAAAAGGAAACGAAGAAACCAGAAATCGCACAAACATCAATGACACAAAGTGTGTGTATGTGAAGGCAAATGAATGAATGAGAGTGAAAGAGATAAGGTGCGAGCGGTGAAAATATGAACAAGACGCATTTCCAATAGAAGTAAAAAAAAATCACACATTGATTCTGCCATACACTAGTAAATAAACGCAATAGAAGAAAAAAGACCCGAGAAGAACGAAAATTCCAAACCACGACGAACGAAGAAAGAACTGACGGATCATTTTGTGTGTATAGACATTGTGTACAAGTGCGAATTTGAAAGACAATGTGTGTGGCGATATCATACCAATTTTGAAATTGCGATAAAAGAACCAGAGTAGTGTGTTCATAACAAGAACTTTTTTGACCATAACTATAAAGAGTGACCGAAAATTGTGGAAACAATTGCGTGCTCCTCCTCGTCTTTTCTCTTCGAGCCGAATGTTGCAAACGAAACGGCTGATTGAAAGATTTGGCCCCATGGGTCAAGACATGTAACCGAATTGTGTGTGCGTGTTCGTTTTGTTATACTCTCTCTTTCTGTTTCTGTTCCTGTGTCCAATTCCTTCGGTCAAGCAACAGCAGAAGAAAAAAAACCTCATTACGCTGGCCCGACGTTTTCCTTCTTTTTTTTTAAATTTTATTTTTGCTGCTGTTGCTGTCGCCGCTGCCGCAAAGTAAACATACGAATATCGAATGAGTAATGTTCCTATGGTCGTATGAAAGATCGCGCGCACATTGCGTTATGTTAAAACGGCGTAATCAAAATCATTAAAGTGTACTACTTCAATCTTTGCCATTTCGATCGACGCTTCTGAATATCATCGTCAGTGTGCACAGTTTTCGGTTGTTAGTGTGTATCAAAAACTCCGGAAGAAAAGACGAAAATTTGAACGCATATAGCGAAAAAACAAAATCGCACCAGAATTATAAACAAAATAACCGCGTAGATTCCATTCGATTGATTCATCGATTTTGTTATCATGTGTAATTCTATAAACGGCGATTAAAATCCTACAAATTTAACACATAAAAGATTACAATTTATATACACATTTTCAGACATAGTTGAAATTTCATTTTTTCAAATCAAAACGTGCACCAAACAAACAAGTGGTCTTCATTGAATGAGAAAACAAAAGTGTCAAAGAAAAGAAGATAAGAAAAATATGCCGAATCAACGTTGGTGAAATCAAACAAAATTAAACAATTCAACAATTATTGAAAATATTCACATCGTTATTACAATCGAAAGTAAACATACACACACCTGATACATACACCAAATTTCATCGACAAAATTTCATTGAAATTATGAAAATTAGAAAGAAATTAGATAAAAAACGGACCGAAAATCACGCAATACGATTGGATGATGTGTCAATTCTACCCGCATTTCAAATGTAACGAGCAAACCAATAAAATACAGCAGCACGCTTATTTCATACATCTAATTTTAATCATCAATAGCAGTTCTAAGAACTCAAACCAACAATTTTAAAGCAGAAAACCAAAAGAAATTCGTTTTATTTTAAAACCACACATGCGTTGCAAATTGTTTTGTTTACTGTGTATAATTGATAAGTTTTGAATTTTTTTTTTGCGACATAAGTTATTCAATATTGCCGTAAGTGGAAGTTGTGTTCGAATCCGGATTCAGTGTTAATTCAGTTTTAAACCACCGGTTTTACTCTCTCGATGAATTGTTGCCGTTTGCCGAATCATTCAAATTCGTTTGGAAAATCAAATTGTTTCGCCGCAACGTGAGCCGACCCGTGTTGTTGAGCGTGTGGTGTGTGGCACAAGAGAACGGTGTGCCGACACAAAATGTCACAAATTAATAAAGGTCATCATGTGAAGGAAACGAAAACTGAACTCCCGTCCCGTGTCGCTCAATGGTACTACAAGCATGGCTTATTCCTATCGAGCTATCCCACCTGTGCTTCCAGTTTGGCCATTTTTATGGTTTTATCATCATGGTGAATTGTCAAATGGATATTTTTTTTCTTCTCACTCTGAACAAACAATTCAAATTGAATTTATTTCTCTTGCAGCTATCCTTTGCTAAATATTCCGCTACCCGGTACAATTCCAACCAAAATCATTTTGCCATACGAACATCAAACGACAACGATAAAATCGCCAACCATTTTAACGAATTCAGATAAGGTGCCATCGGGTTCAGGGAATGCATCGCACGAACAGCCACCGTTTCCATGGGCAAACAGCGATCCATTTGTTTACATTCAACAGATTGTGCTGCGTTCCAGTGTTTTACCATGGCGAAAAAATCTACTGCTTACGGACGCGTATCGTGGTCCATTGCACGAAATTTTCAAACTATTGGAAATTGTTCGGAATCACGAAGAGGAAACGAGCAAAACTAATTTGGCCAATATATGCTTGCATGTGGAAAATGTGAAAAAACCCACCAAATATTCATCCATTTTCCCCGAATACAACTGTCTCATACTGTCACCGGCGAATCTGTGGCAACAAAATGCACAAAACTTTAAGAAGGACACAAATCTTTTGTCAACAATTTTTCATCATCATGTAAGTATCAAGGTCGTTAAGGTCACAACACAATACATAAAAATTGACAACAGATACAACTATGTTCGAAATGGTTTTCTTATTTGAATCATACAAACGTTCTTGTTGTTGTTTTTTTTCCAGAATTTACAAAAATCGAAAGTATCAACGGCTGAGATGCTCTTCGGAATGTTGTTACGCGATTCAGGCGTTAAACGATATCCGATACGAGTGCGGCCGAGAATCATTCAATACGCAATTACATTGGTGCTGGAAAAGAATGATCCCGTTTTTATTGAGTCACTCAAGCAGAAATTGATTCAAGCATATCCATTACATCAGGAGAATGTGGCAACGATGACGGCAACGAAACCGGCACACCGTGAAGCAATCACATACATTTATTACCCGGGTGAATTCAATGTAATCGAATGTGTACCGATGTGCATTGCATTTTTGCTGGTGTTTATGTACGTGTATTTTTCAATGCGAAAAATTGATGTGTTTAAATCACGTTTTGTGCTGGCCATCAGTGCAGTGGTAACGGTATTGAGTAGTTTAATGATGGCATTGGGGCTGTGTTTCTTCTTCGGTCTAACAATAAGTATGCAATCTCGTGGTGTATTGCCGTATCTCATAATGTTGTTTGGATTGGAAAATGTGTTGGTCATCACAAAAAGTGTGGTGTCCACGGATGAGAAATTCGATGTAAAAATTCGTGTCGCACAAGGACTGAGCAAAGAAGGATGGTCCATCACGAAAACATTACTCACAGAGATTACAATTCTAACGATTGGCTTGGTGACATTTGTGCCAGTCATTCAAGAGTTTAGTATATTTGCCATTGTCGGTTTGATTTCGGACTTTTTCATGCAGATGCTTTTGTTTTCCACGGTGCTTGCATTGAACATACGACGCATTGAGTTTAGCAATTTGGCAAAATCATCAAATGTACCGGACATGGCGCAACGAGTACCGTATCGTTATGTGGGCAGCACACCTAAAGCACAATCCACTTCAATGAGCCGATCTCGTTCACATCCAAAATTCTCCGTCGCTGCCGATTCAATGCAACCGACAGATGTGGTGGCCGCTGGCAAAGCCATAGCTGAAACCAAAAAGATACCCAAACGACTGAAGATCATCAATTTTTGGGCACGAACACGTTTCTTTCAACGTGCATTCATGCTCTGGATGATCGTGTGGATTTGCTCGATCGTTTATAATTCCGATATTTTTGCGCATATTTTCGTGATGGAAGCGAAAAATCACACCGATCTACCCGATGACAATGGCTTTGAGAACTATGCCCCGCACGGGATGCAAATGTCAAATATGGATATTAAGCATGGTGATAGTGTGTCTTTTGTGGAAAAAGAGGGTGATTCACAGCACAAGAGCACATATTTTGATGAAAAACAATACAATTTGACCGAACAATTGAATAAACTCCGTCATCCCGATTACGATGTGAATTTGCATTTGTCCAATTTTCATTGGTCATCCGTTTTAAAGCAGTACAACATTTCGGTGAGTGGCAAATATGTGACAATTCTGCCGACCATTCGCATTTCACACGTGGTCACACCGGACGAAGCGATTTACTTGCGAAACGTTGACGAAAAGCCAAAACTACATTTTCAATGGAAAGCTCTGGCCATTGCATTAGATCCCATCGATTTTGCTGATATGGAAGAAAAAGAGGGTTCAATTGCATACCATCTGACTGCAGGCGGTTACAATATCGGTTCAACGCCACTATACCCAAAAACACCCATGGAAATGCTACTCGCCACCATTCTGTGCACAATCAGCATCGTTGTTGTGTCGTATGCAATGATCGTGTTTTATCGATGCATCTGCAGTCGTAACTATGCCGAATGGCGTTCCAGTTGGAATGACTCAAAAACCGATATTGCCTACCCGAAAACACAACGAATCTTTGAAAGTATTCCAATACAAATAAAAGGTCATAGCCATCGAATTGAGTGCATGGTGACCGATGGACGGATGCTAGCTTGCTCGTGTCTCGATGGCAAAATCACCACTTGGGACGTTTCAAATGGCGAACAAATCAGTGTGATAAATCGTAAGAATTATTTTAATATAAATCGCCGACTGTCTGGTTCATACACACCATCGGCGGGTGGTAATGATGGATCATCACCGATCACAATGACTGCCACACCAACGGTGGCATCAAATAAAAAACCAGAAGTTTCTCCCATTTGGTGTTTGGACTACACCGACAATTTAATTGTGATTGGATGCGCAGATGGAAAAATTGAGTTCTGGGAAAGCACAACTGGCACACTTAAGGTATGGTGATTGAAATTTCAAAACATTCTTGCTCATTTTTTGTAAACTTTTCACCTCTTGTAGTGTATTTACGAAGGAGAAGGAAAGCAAAACTATGGAATAACTCATTTGCACTTGAGCGGCGATCGTTTAGTGGCAGCCCGACTGAATGGTCGAATCGACTTTTTGCGATTGGAAACATACAACCAAGGACGACAAATTGACTGGGGTTTCATGTCGGCCTATCGACGAAGTAATTATCGAATTTTTTTTTTTCAAAATCAGTTGCCTCACCAAATATGCAAAAATGACTCTAATATGGAATAATTGTTTGTTTTTTTTTTTATTTCAGCACACGTTCGAACTGGTTCGACGGGAAGTTTGTCAAATTCTCAATTGGCCAGCCAGGGCAATGACATTTGCTCGATAGCATCGAGCAGTCAAGAAGAGATGCGATGTTTTTTGGAACAACAGCATCAAGGCCATCAACAGCTAATTACATGCATGGATGTGGTTGGTAATACGGTTTTAACTGGAAGTCAAGACCATACGTTGAAGGTAATTTAATCGTTGACTTTTTCTCCCTTTTTTTTCGTATACAATTATTTGAATATGTGAAAAATGAAGGGAAAAAATGTTCTATTCCATGGTTAAATTCCTCATTTCTGTGTCTTTTTTTCTACAGGTTTTCAAATTGGATTTAGCCAATTTAGTGTTTACACTACACGGACATTACGGTCCAATAACAAGTATATTCATTGATCACTACCAAAGTTGCACGGGCGGATCGGGTTCACAGGACGGTTTGCTGTGTGTGTGGGATTTGATAACTGGCGCCTGTATGTATAGTATTCAAGCGCATGACGGTGCAATTGTGTCGCTGATTTGTTCGTCAAGCTATGTGATTTCAATAGGAACGGATGAGCGTCTATACATTTGGGAGCGATTCCAAGGGAATTTGCTCAACACCATCAATGTGCCTTATGTTTACACAAGTTTATTGATGTTGACACCATCGCTGCTAATCACGGCTAAACCAGGTAACATTCACATCATGTACATCATAATGGTCATGTGAAATGTTCACACACTGATTTAATAATTCTTTTATTCGAAATAGGTGCATTGGTCATTTGGGATGTACGACGCGGCGAACAGACACGAGAAATCAAATTGGACTGTCTGAATTCGCATCTGTGCTCGAAAAAGATCTTATTCGCAAGCGGCTCGGTGGTTTGTGACTATGGCAATGAGATGCGAATCATACGCTTTCCAATCGTCAATGATAAGTGCGATTAAACGAGAAAGAGAGAATAGAACAAACACAATCTGACGACATTCGACGGACAAACATCATGAAATATATATATATGTAACAAAGAACGAGCATCATATTTATTATTCATCACATGCGCATTTTTTTCCCTTCATTATTCCTAAAGAGATTCAGATTCATTTTTCGAATCACGCTTGATCCATTCGTTGTGTCTGAAGTGAACCGTCCAATGAACACTTAGCGATCAAATGGCCAAATTTTTCTTTAAAGAAATATGTAACAAAAAAAAAAAACAACCAACCTCCCCTCTTCGATAACCAAAATGCAAAATTTACATTAGGCTGAAGCAATTTTCTCTGTATATTATTTAAGTAATGTAACACATGCAAAAAAGTAACATTAGAAAACGGATTTTTTTTTTAAATTTAAATAATAAATAAAACATTTTGAAATGAAAAATCATTTAATTTCTTTGTAAAACTAGCCATGGTATTTAAATGGTGATTTCCGCCATGTCAAATAGTTGTTTTTGTCACGATAGAAACTTTGGACAAATAAATACGCATATTTTTGCATCAATCCAATTTATTCCAATTGTTTATGTGAATGTGTTTGAATGTTCCGCTCAATTGACATATGATTTCTAACCTTTGGTGACATAACCTCACAATCACAGTCTGCATTTGACGAAATGTAAGAAAAAGGTAAACAAAAAGTGGCTGTGAGTATTGAACATGACAAATGGCAAAAGTTATAATTATTGAAGCCTTCTACGGCGGTTCACATAAACAACTTTTGGATACGGTTCTGCAAGGTATGAATGAATTTAAAATTAAATTTTTTTTTTCAATTCAACTTTTATCTTATTTCAACGAATTTTTTTAATGTGTTTCATCATTTCAATCAGATATTGATGTTGCAAAGTATGATTTATACACGTTACCAGCCAAGAAATGGCACTGGCGAGCAAGAACGAGTGCATTGTACTTTTCTCAATCCATTCCAACCGATCATCAGTATGAGGTTCTCTTTACATCGTCGGTGTTGAACCTGGCAGAATTGATTGGCATGCGCCCAGACTTAGTCGTATGCAAGAAAATTGTCTATTTTCACGAGAACCAATTGATTTATCCGGTGCGAGAAATCAAAGAACGCGATTGCCAGTATGGATTGAATCAAATTATGACATGGTAACGTTCGAATAAATTTGTATAATTGAAAAATTGAATTTAAATTATTTAAAATGCCAATTATTATTCATTGACAGTCTTGCTGCCGATCGAGTGCTATTCAATTCAAAATTCAATCAGAGCTCGTTTCTTGACAATATCAGTACGTTCTTGAACATTCAATCGGATTTTAAAATAAAAGGACTTCGAGATCGTATTGAGCCAAAATGTGAAGTTTTATATTTTCCCATAAAATTCCATCGAATGCCGATGGAACGAGCAACTGAGCGAAATTTCAGTGAATTACACTTGCTTTGGGCACATCGATGGGAGCACGATAAAAATCCACAATTGCTAGCCAATACACTCATTGAACTGAATCAACGACAAATTCCATTCACCGTTTCAATTGTTGGCGAACAATTTGATACGCATCCACTATGCTTCGATGAAATGCGCGCCAAACTCGAGGGAAGAATTCGAAATTTCGGATTTTTGAGCCGCGAAGACTACTTAAAGTGCCTTGGTGAAGCAGACATCGTTTTATCGACGGCTGATCATGAATTTTATGGCGTTTCGATGTAAGTGAATTACCTTCACTGATCAAAAAAAATTTTTTTTTTTCAAAATCACATGGTCGATAAAGTCGAAACATTCCTTAGAAAAATTGGCTATAATTAGAATTGAAAAAAAATCTCATTTCAGGCTTGAAGCAGTCCATTGTGGTTGCATGCCAATTGCGCCTAATAAATTAGTCTATCCCGAGATTTATCCAAAGGATAATCTTTTCAGCACCGAAAAGCAACTGATAAAAAAGCTTCAAAATTGGTGCAAAAATCCATCTGTATTCCATCAACAGCGCCAAAAGTTTTTCCAATCTTTTTCAGTGCAGCCATTTGCCAGCGAGAATTTAATTAAACGATTTCTTCAAATACTTACGCTTAATTAGAATCAATATTTATTGAATAAAAACTAAACCAATAAGCTAATAAATGCATCAAATGAAGAAAAAAAAAACAACACAAAATTTGATCTCGATTGAAATAATGCGAATAAAAGTCGAATGATGATTTTTTTTTGTGTGTTTTCATACGTTTTATTTCCTGTCAATATTTGTATCATTTCCATTTTGCAGTCGTCCATTTAAATCCAATTAAATATCTGGCAATTTGTGATCATTTCTGTGGTGGTTATGATTACTTTCTTCTCATTTAGGTTTCTCGTATAATTGAATTCATCATGCAGTTACGAATATGTGATTTTTATTTGTTGTTTCACAAACGTTTTTTTTTAAATTACCACATTTTAATACGCTGTTTAATTTTTGGTTGGTTGTTCTTGCATATTAATATTTATAATAAGTATCTCTTAGTAATGATGCTAAGATCCATTGTATAATTGTCCATCATTTTTCTTCTGTTTTGTGTTGCTTGAGTAAATTTTTATTCTGCTCGCGAATAATAATTTCTTGGCGTTTGCAAGCTTTGTTTTGATTAATCTCGCCAATCATCCATTTCCGTTGACCGTTAAATAAATACAATGAAGTGCAATACGATTTTAACAACATATCTCAACTGATTTGTTCGTTTTCACTTGCTATGTCATTGTGGTGTCCATCCGACGCTTAGATTGTTCGCTTCTTGATTAAATATATACTTTGGGGGCAGCAGCAATTTATGACAATTGCACGATTGCGGCGTTTTTCTCACCCATTCCATCGAGATTGACTTCCCGGTGAAATTCATGCTGTCGCGTACTATATAAATATTTTAATACGAATCGATATATATGCTACTTTGATTTCCTTTTTCTGCACACACAAAAGCAAGTAGTTAAACTTTATCGCAAGTCGGGATAAACCATACATTTATAAGTGCTGACATCCACTTTTGGGATAAATTTCATCGCACTTGTATATGTCAACACCATTCAAACGTATATTTTATCCCGACTTGCGATGACGTTCAACTACTTTTGACAATTTACTTTTGTGTGTGTGTGTTTAACTCTATACAAAGATCCATTTTGCATTGGCCGTCGTTTGTTCATGTTGTGATTTATTTTGAATTGTTTCACATACACACAGAGAACGATTTGTGGGAAATTTTTGCCAGTGTTTTTCTCCACGTTTTTTTTTTTATCCTTCTACATTTTTGTATTGTTTTATCATGTTGTCTCTCTTCCTCTCACTTGTACAATTAAATTATCTATATGCCTTGTTTTTGTTAAAAAATAATAATTAAATTTAATGGATGGTTTCAATCTAAGCTACGTACATCTTGTATTTTCCGTTTCGAATCGATTCGATTTCATTGTCCAAAGTTGTAGATTTCATTTGCATTTCCGTGCTTTTTTTTGTTCTGTTTGTTTGATCATCATAAAATTGTTGTTTGTTTTTCTTGTGTCGTTTCATTTTATTCTCTCTTCATTTGTAAACAATTTCTATTAGGTCCTGTTTCAAAATATATAGATTTTCTCTTTACTTCTCCTTTTTGTTTGTTAATTTGTGTTTAAAACTAAATAAATAATTCTTTTTTATCTATGCAGGGCGGGAGGTGGTGTTTTGAGATCGAGAGAAAGAAGTGGAAGAAATTAAAAGTAATCCAAATTGTTCGTTTGGAGAGATAAATTCGTTATTCGTGTTGTTTTTTCTGCTTATTTTCGATTGAAGGAACAGAGGTGCGCGGTTGAGCCGCAAGATTCAGTTTATTATCATGTTAGATATTTTCGATTGGCACATACAAAGTGTGGACATTGGAAAAGGAAAAAACGTTGGTGGCATTTATCGAAAATGGGTAGTTTGCTTGGGAAAAGAAAGACTATTTTCATTCGTTTGTTCGTTCGATTAGTTTTGTTATGCTGTTGTTATTTTGGTATTAGATTTGAATACATAAATAGATAGTCTATTGCCGAGTAATGGTCAGGGAATCGATTGTTGGTTTATCTGTTTGTGTTTAGTGTAAAATTGTTGCTACATAAAGAAGTTAGAGGATTAGACACGATCTCACTAAATTACACACATTTTTGTTGGTAAAGCAAAAAACTTGGTTTTCATTTTTTGTTTTTGTTTTGGTTTCTTCGTTTACATACTACTTGACTAATTACATTTTTGATAGCTACACATTTATACAATGACATTTATTGGAAACGTTTACTTTACTCTTCAATTCGTCGCCATTTTCGTTCATAACACTTCTCAATTTCGGGTCTTTTGTTGCTCTTGTCTCTTTCAATAAGATTTTTTTTTGTTGCTTTGTTTCGTTCAAATTTTTCGCAATATTTCTTTATACAAGTGAACATGAAAAGAAAAAATAGCACCATTTTATACAATTCTACTTTTGCTTCATTCCGTTCATTGCTATCTTTTCACAACAAAGAAAAATTCCGATTTTTTCCGGTTAATCTCTGTATTGTATGGTCATCAATCGATGTGTGTTAACTTTTCCTTTTTTTTATTTAATCATTTCTCGTTCTCCATTTAAAATGTTTATTTGGAAAAAATGGTCGGGTTTTGATTTTGTTGCGAACTTCCAGTGGAGACAGAAGCTTTAAGATAGCAAACAATAACGAAAAAATCTCTTACAAAATCGAAAATGAAAAAATCGCTTTTTCTGACGAAATAAACAGTAAACTGATAAGAAATATTTACTTCAGTCATAAGTGAATATTTCTTATTCAAAACCAAATTGAAATGAAGACACGGAACAAAAAACCACATAAAAGACGAACATTTAAAAGAAATTCAGTTCCATAACTCAAATTCAAAATGAAAGAAATTTGCGAGGAAAAGAAAGTCTCGTTCACTATTTTGATTCTGAAATGCAATGAGTGAATGTTTTATCATAAGAATGGAACGGTATTCCAATGTTCAATTTTCCAAGCATTTCATCGTTCAGTTTTCATTACATCGTCAATCTTTTTACGGCGTATTTATTTGTGTTGGGGTTGCATTTTGCTATTTCGGTTTGATTTTCACTTTAAATAAAATTCATGTGCAGTCATTTAACAAATGAGTCTTCGTTTTGGCGGGGAGATGAGATTTATTAGCAAAGAGATGGTTGTAAAACAGTATAAATTGATTCAACGGCGAATAGTTTGTGATCAATTGCCACATAAACGATTTGTTTGAAACAAAGTTTGAGTGATTTTGATTCGAAAAAAATTTGATTTGATTTTTTTTCGGGGTATTTTCATTTGTAATCCAACAACGAGCTGCCTACTGGGCTAAATATTCAGGTCCATTTTGAGCGATGTTCATTCACATAAATTTGTTTCTATCATTGAAGTGAAGCACAATATTGTCTACACTGCTTCGAATCATACATTCGGCAATCATTTTCAAATTCATAGCATCTTCTTTTTTTCCATTTTGTTGCATCATCACTTCGATGTTGCGAAACTATGAAGACTTATTAGTTTATAAAAAAAAAAACAACCTTGGCACGGGTCTCTAAAAATGTGGTGAACATCTGAACATTACAACAATACTCTTAAAGTAATTTTCAATAAATTTTCCGTTCGATTTGGGTTCATAAGTATTTTGAATCAACCGTTTAAATTACAGGACGTTTACATCAATAGAATTATTTTCAGATTTGTTTCACTCGAATAGATTTGTTTTTTTTTTTGGTTGTCTCTCGATTTCGAGAAAGTGGTTAAATTACAGCTATGGTCTCAACTTATCGATCGTGATCGATCATACACAAAATGACTGAAAATCGAAGCGAATAAAAGCTACAAATTAACTCACATTTAGTTACGGAAAGCAGTTTCGAATCGTTTTCTCACTGCATTTTTCTTTGAAACCCAACGAAAAGTTCCGAGTTTTCAACAGCATCAATAAAAAATAAAAAATTTAAAGACGAATTTTTTCGTCGTCTATGTGCAAATTGAAAATAAACTTGATTATAATTTGTCTATTTGGATTGGACCGATTTATCGACGGGAAGGATTGTTAACAGTTTTGGGCTTTGAAATAGAAAGAAAAAACAACGAATAAATGTGAATGAAATCAAATTCTGGTGCGTTTTCTTCATATAACTTCTAGATCTGAAGTTTATCTCAAATTGACCAGTTTTAACCAAGACGTTTCTGTTTTGCCTGGTCTCGCTTCAAAACGGATTATTCATTGGAAAAAATTTCCATTAAATTTGCTTTCTTTCATCATATTTTTCATTCTCAATTTTCTTCTTCTTTATTTAAATAAGTCTTTTTGTGATTTCATTCAATTGTTTTTCCTATAAAAATATCGTCATTTCGTTCATCATTTAATAATTTGTTTTTATTATTATTATTTTTAATTTAACATCTTACGCTCTTATCAATTATAATACATTGTGGTAATTAATTTCTACCCATTGTGTTTATGTGTAACAGCTTTCGCCACATAGAAATAGAGAGAGAGAGAGAGAAAAGCTTCGGTTGTTCTTTTCAGGGCAAAAAGAAAACAACGCCGTTTCAAAATAAGTCGAGGGAAATACAGAAGAAAAAGTGGTGTTGTATTTTTTTTGACTTTATTTGAACCGATTATATATTTGATGTACGCGTTTGTGTTTATTTGGTTTGTTTGTCGCTTTGTGTGTCTGTCTGTGTGTATTGAATATAGATTAGATTTTGCAGTTGGGCACGTATAAATTTGTTTATTCTTTTTTTTTGGATTGGAAAAATGACTTTCGCAACGAATCGTCTTCTTAACTTATTTATAGCTTAGGCTCATTCATAATACTCTTTTAGCTAGAATTCATTTGGTTCTAGTTTTATCTTTATAACAGTTTTATTCATTTGTTGTTGTTGTTTTTTTTGGCCGTATGAAAACAAAAATGTACGGCCAATAGAAAGATTACAATGGACTTGATGGCGGGGGCAATAGACTTTTAGTTTTGTTTTTCTGTTAGTTTATTTATTTCGTATGTTCTGTTGTTGTTGTTGTTGTTGTTGTTAGTTCTCAGTTGAAATGATCAAATGCCATTTACAAATGTTAAAATAAGTTGCTACAAAATATGTTAACAATAATGAAAGTGACTATAACTAATTTAAAATGGATGCTCTGGAGAATATTTGGCGTGTGATGTTGACTGTGTGCGTGACCAAAGACGGGAAAATGAATTTCCTCCGGATCGCGTAGCTCTTCGTCACTGCTGTCAACGGAATTTGATATTACATTTCGTTTACGGGTAAAATTTATATGAAATTGCGCTTCAGCCAAACCAGTCGGCGACGAAACGATGAAATAGAATGTGCGCGGCACCCGTTCGTGCATATGCACATACGTGAGACGAGCCTCTTTACAGAATGGAGTCGGTAAATCCTAGAGGAAGAGACAAAAAGAAGCAATGCAAATGTACATGAATATTGAGTTTGACCATTGAAAAGCAATTTGCTCTTGAGCTGAGGGATGCTGAAATGGTAAAGGGTGGGGGGTAAACAACGAAAGAAAGAATGAAGCAATCACAATTCAAGCAATTTTCATTGACTTACGATAACTCCATAGGCCAGCACATCAATGCCATATTGATTGCCAGGCGTATAAATACGGTCGCCGTGTAGCCATCTGGCCGCATAGGCGGGTGGATTGGCACAAAATTCAACCGATAAATGTAACGGTGATCCCGGATAAGCAGCAGGTGTTTGATTTCGAACGCTCACCGTCGGTGCTCCTGTGTGTGTGTGTTTGTGTGTGGAAATTAAATTGTAATTTACTTGAAATATCGGAATAAAATGCGGGTAAATTTGCATAATTGAATGTGCGTGGATGGCCGCTTAATTATGGCCTTGCTCTTTCCCCCCCCTCTCTCTCTCTCTCAGAAAGAGAATGAGAGAAAAGGGATGGAAAATTCCGTTTTGCTTGACACGACTCTATTCTTTTCAATACTAGCTACTCCCTTGGATTCAAACAAACAGAGTGAATTCATGTCATTGCAATTAGGAAATATATCAGGGCAATAAAAACGGCGGTTAGACATAGAATCCGAAACGTTAACGAAAGAAATCGGAGTACGAAATCCTACCGCCGATTGACGATCGGATCGGCTATAAAATCGTATAAATGAAAAAAAAAAGAAAAAGAAAGCATACCTTTAACATTCAGCGATAATGTGTGTAGAACATCGAGTTTCTTTTTATTGGTCGGACTTTGACCGACACATTTATACGTGCCAGCATCTTGATAGACGACATCCTTTAGCGAATAGATGCCAGTTGGCACGGATGAACCCATACCAAGGCCGCGTAAACGCTGATTTATCGGATCTAAATGCGACCAACATCCCAACGAACCTTGCGGACACTGAAGCGTAACCGTACCACCCAGCTGCACTTCTAATTGATGATTTTTGTTGGTTGTATGCTGTAACGGCGAACCAACTGAAACCTCTTGTTCGACGGGCTCGGATGTAACATCAACATTGTCATCTGTATGACGCATTCGTAGAATGAAATGATGATTATTTTCATTGGATAAAATTGTGCGGTTTTATCGTTGTTTATGTGTCTTTGTGTGTGTGTTTTAATTGATAAAAAAATTTCAACTTACATCGAATATTCAAGAAATAACCAATGCTCGAATATTGGAAATTCAAGTGGCGCGATGTACATTTGTACCATCCGGAATGTTCGCGTCGTATTTGCGTAAAATTCAAAAAGCCATCGCCATTTTGGGGTATCTTTTTTCGTTTGAAGAAGCGTGAGAACGAGAAAAAAAGCAAACAGAATGACAACAATTAGAGAAAAAAAAGGGGGCAGAGACACAGTGAAGGAACACAAAAAAAAGAACATTACGAAATTCATCACATTAAAGGACAACCAATTTTCATTAAAAGCAGGTCTGGTCAACAGAACAATGACTCATTCAAACTTTAGAACAAAACGTTGAGATACAATACTGGGGGGGGGGGGGTTTAAATGCCACACGAATAAAAAAAGAGAGCATCGAGTGTGCTTTTTTCGACTATCTCGCACACAAATGGGGTTTTTAAGGGGTAAAATGAAATTACCGGTGGATCTCCATCGTCTTTTTGCCAAATTGGCGTGCTGGGCGGATTTGAATCGACATCGCATTTCAGCGAAACTTCAATGCCTTCACGTAGCGGATAACCAAAACCAGGCGTACGTGATATTGCAAACGATGGTGTATCTGTCAAATGAAACGGAAAAAACAAAAATTCAATTACAATGAATTTGGTTTCAGAAAATAAGAAAAAAATAAAATAAAAATTCAGTTGGACTTTCGCCGTTTCGAACTGCTGCTACCACTGCCAACCAATGAACTGAGCTGAGCAACGTTTGCATTTCAAATCAAAATTGAATTAAATCGAATCAGTTCGATTCGGCGAATTGCCACCCATGCACATTGCACATATACTATATTCACACACTACTCTTTCTCTATGCACGGTGACACTGGGATGGAGACCGAGCGAGTGTAAGAGAGAGTTAGACATACAATTACCAGAAAATGAACGCTGAAAAAAATGAACTGAACTGAAACCGGAAAAGGAGGAGATAAATCATATACTTACATTGTACATCAAGCAAGAGTGATGAGTTTAGTCGAGTTTTTAACGTTGGATGCTCCATGACACACAGAATTCTCGCGTTGTGATGTGCCCGATACACAGCTGGCAATTTTGCTTCACTTTTAGCTCCACTATTTATTTTATATGGCTCTTTATCCGCCTGGTGGTGTGCATTTGTGAGGGAGGGAAAAACGTGGAATGCAACGAGAGAGAGAGAGAGAGAGAGAGAGAGAGAGAGAGAAAACAATATCAGTGAATGCTGTGTGCATTCTTCTGAGCTGTTGCTCTGCTTATTGACAGGAATGCTAACATTTTAACTCTTAACGCAATTTCCGAGATCATAAACTGTCATTTAAACCGTTTAAATTGTCGGATAGATTCTATGCGCAACACGAGAAGAGTGTATGTCTGCCATCTGAGTGTATATGGTTTTTGTTCATGTTTCTCTTACCTCATTTTTGATTTCTTGCAATTCTAAAACTTCCGCCGATACTTTTTGCGAATGTCGATCAACGCCCGGACTTATCAGTACTTCCCAGCTGAGTACCGGTTTTGGATTGCCTCCTTCGCTGATGCAAGCCAGTGTCAGTTCGGAGTTCTCTTTGACAGGTACAAAAATATTTCCCGCATCCAGTCGACGTGAATCGATGAGTAGATACGGTGATTTTGGACGATCTGCAAACACAACGAACGCACAAAACGTTCAAAACATTGTCATTCAAGAAGCAAACGATTGAATTTGTCTTATACAACATTCGCATGATGATGTAAATGCTGTCACTTGTGTGTATGATGTGGTGCGTTGCGCGCACGTTGACATAACTTTGTATAATATGATCCAGATTAATTGCGTTACAGTCATATAAATAATTTATGCAATAAATTGATTGTAGAAGAGAAAGAAGAGCCAACAACACGATGACATGATATAGCTAAAGATAACATGATGATGGGGTATTGCAAATGAAAGGACGCATTCGCGTGTGCTTCACTGAACTCACTCTCGCACACGCACACAAAGTTACCAATATAAATTAATTCTTGTATGTGTGTGCGTGTGCGTATCGATGAGGTCATAATGCTAAAGTCACTGTGTTAAAGTTCATGCGAACAGAGAAAGCGAAACAGAGAGAGAGAGAGAGAGACCTGGAGAAAATGTGTAATATTAGAACAAAAGCTAACCAACAGTTGAAAATGAGTTCCAATTAAATTTGCGTACATAAATTCGATTGTCGAACGCTGTTTTGCACAATATTAATTTAGCTATCATTTATTACGGTCATTCTCCTTTAATCTACATTGAAGGATGCGTACGAAGTGAATTGGAGTTTTTTGTTATGAGATTTTGGTCTTTTTTGCCTTTTCATGGTAACTCTTAGAAAATGACGTGGCTAAAATAAAAAGCACATCAATTGTCGGTTTTCTTCAAGAGAGCGAAGAGAGAGAGAGAGAGAAATTGTACCGTATAATTGGAACATATGTGTACTGTTGGCTTAGCATATATTAAACACGTACGAGAAATCCTATGACTTAATTCATTGCATGATTTATTTTTGGCGAAAAACATGTGAATTATGTAACAATGAGCATTAAATGGTAGAAAAATCAACGTTAAATGCACGTAATCGTTTTGTATGGAAGGATGCAGCTATTATTTACCGATTTGTTCTGAATCAACGCAGTTTTTTTTCTCGCCGTGTTCAGCACATTTTCAGGTTGTTATTGTTGTAATTCTTTTTTTATTTTTTGCTGAGCTCTGTCTCTAATCGCACCTCGAGATTTTAATTTTCGAGAATAACAACAGCAACTGCATGAAATTTAACTGTAAAATTCCACCTACAAGTGTGGAAATACGTGACTGTTTTTTATTGAAGACGAAAAATTTGCACTCAACAGCTCCGTGTCGTCGTTTCTTTTCCTCTTTATTACACAAATTCACACTCGCACAAAAGAGCTCGATCAAATAAACAATGAAAATGTCTGCTATTTGAAGGTTTTTTTTCCCCTTCAAACAACGGCCCAGAGCGTGTTTATAACGGAATCTCAAAAGTAAAGAAAGAGCACAACAATCACCATATACATATACGAAATGGAGGAACGGAAAAAGTGCTTGCTGCATGAAAGACCAGAATGAGTGAGCGAGCTTGTGAGCAGTGATACGAGTATGGGCAAAATTAGCTCTCATTCATTATTTTCTGATGAATTTGCAGTTTTCAGAAATAGAAAGAAAAGATATGCCACAATCGCGATGTTTCATTAGCAACAACAGCACCAGCAGCTAGGAAAAAAGTGGTCGAATTCTCAATTCTCTTTCGTCTGTTTTTGTTGTCATCGTTGTTGTCGTTGTCGTGGTTGATATTGGATATTTATGTTTCGAAAATAAGAACAGCTAACTTTGCCCACACACTCTCTCTCTCTCCCTCTTTCGGTCACAATAGAAAGAAGAAGAAAAAACAACGGAGATGATGACAACACCGGAAAAATAAAACCGCATAAATTTGCAACGCTTCTACACCACATTTTCAACCATTTTTTTCTTCTTATTCTGCTTTTCTTCGGTCCTCGGTTATGTGCCATGGTGTGATAAAATCAAATTTCCCAATTTTTCCATGTTAATACATATTTACGAGCGTGTAAACGATGCGAGGAACAAAAAGAGAGAGCGAGCTAGATGCGCTCGTCGAACTTTTCGTTTTGGGTCATTTGACATAAACATTCACACAGTAAACCAGAGTGAGCGAATGACGAGAAAGAGAGAGAGAGAGAGAGAAAAAAGTGTACAGCAACACTGTGAGGCGACGAACGAACGCATAAAGTCAGTCAATTACCATCGAATTAAATCGGTTATTAAAATTTAAATTGAAATTCACACTTTTAACAGGCTTTCCGGTGCGGTCAGCTTGTCGTCCTTTTTCTTTTATTCATATTTGTTTTTATGCGGTGTGTGTGTGTGTGTGCGTGGTGTGTTTTAATATATTTTTCAAACTGCTCTCTCCCTCTCTCTCATTTGTGCTGATGTGCGCCAAAGTGTGAATCACTTCGCTTTTTAATGTTGTGTTGTGTGTGCGTTTTTTTTCTTCTCTTCTACGTTGTGTTTTCCACAAAAGAGATTAAATTTATATTCCGAAAATTTTGATGTATTCTGAAATGTTTGGCGGAAAAAACTTCTGCAATCTTCGCATAATATTTTTTGGAGGCCCCATGACACTGTGAAGACTTGCCCGCACTTTTACGAATACTGCCGCTGCTGGCTTTTTTTCATCGTTGTCGTCGCTATTATTATTTCAAGTTTTGTGTGTTTACTCACAAGAAAATCAATTTACAATTTTAAACCGTTTTACATGGCATTTAATACACACTTTTCAAAAGAATTTTCTTTTCGAACCATTTTTTTCTCTTCAGAATAGAACTGAAACACAGAGAACGAGATAGAAAGAGATAATAGGGACAGCGAACGACAATAACAGAAGAAAAACGTTTCCGTTCATACAATCGAGAAATCAACAATTTTATTTGAGTTACGCATATAAAATTGGTGTATTTGCATAAAGAATCATTTTGGAAGAGTAAAGAAAACAAAATACCGTTAGTTATCTTTAAGCGCTCTTGTAAATTCGCTGCATCCTCTCTGATTGAGACAAATTATCTTTGATTAGTGTATTCGTGAACATCAAAAATGGAAAATGGAAATTTTCCCAAAATAAACGAGAACGGAGGATGCAATTGAATGATCCTAAAGCTGAAATATGTTTTGCTGTTTGTATTTTTCTGTGAATGAAGAAGATACTCTTGATGTTCTTGCTAATAAATGTACACTGTGTAAAAATGAATAAACTTAAACATACACCGATAGTGGGTTGATTGTTTGGTTTTTGTTTTCACAATTCGTTACATTTTGAACGTTTCGTTCGAGGAAGTGTGCGAGTGGGATTCGGAGAGCGACTAACAGTGGAGGAAGAAGCCGTTGTCAGTGGTAACCGACTGTGTCAATAGAATATATTTTATACGCCACATTCAACTACACTAAATAAATAGATGAGATGGAAAAAGGAAAATTATTTCTAAATCTGCAAAATGAATGATGCATTTTGTGCCTCAATCCCTTTTTATTCTTCCATACCGAACCGGGAATGTTCTCTTAATATCCCTGCTAAAAGAGTACGAACGTCGGTATTATGACAAAAGAAAAAAAACGCTGTAAACTGAATAAATTTGGCTATTTATTCGAAATGTGCTGCATCGAAGTTGATTATATCCTCGGAAATTCGAGTTGGAATCGGTATATTTCGATGTGTTTCGGTGTTTGTGTGTACAAACCGAGAACGCAACCGAACACAACGAAACAACAGTTGATAAACGAAAGATTTGCAATAGCTAGCCAACCATGCAAAAATGCATCGAACATAGTACCCGTTTGGTGATATTTATTTTGTCGTCGCTACATTTTTTTCTTTCTTGTTTTATTATCACTGTTCGTCCTATTTCACCAACGAATTTTGTTCGAGTATATGTGAGTATATGTGTATCACACTGTTTGTCTGTCTCTTTCGATCGCTGAGTCGGTATGTTGTTGTCTCTGCGAATTGCGTGTGTGTGGCTACATTGGATTGTTGCATACCAAGCAATTGGCAAATGTGCAACGTCAACATTAATAATGTGCATAAAATATTGCAAAATTCTCTAAACACCATCCCCGTCGTAGGCGCCTGGTCCAATAAAGAGAGGCGCATTCATGTAATGAGAATAAATGTTTGGACAAAAAATCTTCAGCAATTTATATAAACAATGGACCTAGCAATGGACACTCTTCCGATCTGTTGAAAAAGTGAGAGCTGAGAAGAGTGAGTATCGCGTAAAGTGTGCATAGCCACAGTACCGGATGTTTCAATGGGTCAATGGTGTCTCATTGACTTCATGGATTTATTTCGATATAGCCGAGAGGAGAGCATAAATTCGTTTAGTTTGTTTCCATTCTATTCGATGCCACATATCATTTGACCTTTTTTTCTATTTAGATGTTCTGCAACTTGGAAAGGAATGTCAAAACTACCACGCGCACAACAATATCCAAACATACACAATAAGACAGTAGCCGATACTGAACAATCCAAAGGAATTTTCACAGGAATGTGTATGTGCATGTATGTTGTCTGATATTTTTTGTATGATTTGTGTTGTTTAGTATCTTCAATAGTACTGAGCGGATTAGATGTGTGTAATATTTATTGTTGGATACATACCTAATACCACTAATTGAATTAGTCGACCATTTTCAATGTAACCTTTTGCATTTTCAGCTTCGCATTGCCATTTGCCGTCATCTTCGAGCATCGCATTTGTTATCGTTAAACTACCACGTGCTTCTTTCAAAAATCGATTATCCGTCGGCCGAGAAGTCCGTTCAGTGGTGTGAACCAGCTATACCAAATTTTGTGTGGTCGTCAAACCATTTTTCCCCCGTATTATTATGGTGGTGGTTGTTGTTGTTGTTGTAGGTGGTGGTTGTTGTTTATTGAATTCCAGTAGATTGCCACACGCCGAATGCAGCCACCCAATCCCAATGAATAACGATGACGATGCCAAGGAGTACGCCGGATGACGATGTTACGAAAGGTTGTAGAAAGAAAGGCAAGAGAGAAAAAGAAGAAGAAAAAATGGGGAAACAAAACGAAAAAAAAAAAAATTACAGTTGTAATGTGATAAAAATACATAAAGAGAAAATGAACGTTTGAAACCGAAAAAGTTGTTCATTCAATCAGAGACTTTATAGAATGTTGTGAAAAATGGGCTTAAAAGAAAATCAAATGAGCGCGAGCGCGCCTTTTGAGCGAATAAGCTGCTGTTTTAGGTGGAGCGTAAACGCAATTTTCTGTTTAGAAGAAGAAGAGGAGGAGGTAAGAAAAAGAATGCCGACGCTTTGTGTGGGCTCCTAATGAGTTGTAAATCGGTCAGAGCACTCTTTTCACATTGGTTGCCGTTGGTTTTTCTCTTTTCTTCTGACAGCTTCTGTGTGTGTGTGTGTGCCAGCCAAAAACACCATTAGACAGTATTTTATGTTGTTATTACTTTTCCAAAAACTTTCATTATTACCTATCCAGCTAATCAGTTGTTTTGGCATGAACGCCACAATCCACTTGCTCGCTCACACACACTCTCAACAGCAGCCGTAGAAAAACACAAAATTCTAATAAATAAGGTCGATAATGAGAGAATGAAAGAGGATTTTCTTTCAGTGTATCCGTTTCGGATTAAATGAACAAACATTCAATATGGCTATTGAATTTTGCGCTAAACCAAAATAAATTGTTGCTCAGCTTATCAGTTTTCTCATCAATTTTTGTTTTGAAAATTTTCCCCCAATGTATGTGTATTGGTGTGAGTGTGTGTGTGTGTGTGTGTGTGTGTGTGTGTGTGTGTGTGTGTTTGTGTGTGTGTGTGCGTACGAGAAAGTAAAGCGAACAAAAAACTCATAATTGCCTGGAAAATAAACGCCCTTCTACTCATCGGTTACTTCATCGAGGAATTTTCAAATGAAATTTCCTTTATTGACTTGTATAATCGCAATGGAACGCGACTTGTCGAAACCATCAACGCGACAGACGTCGACAACAGAGAAAAAAAAACAAAACCGAAGCGCCCTTATAACAAACGTCGACAAAACATTCTTAAAATCGAAAGGAAAGAATGAAGAAAAAAAAAGTAATAATAATGTTGGAAACAAGGTTCCCGACTCTTTTCGTTTCGCCCATTATACTGTTTGATATTAGAGTGAAAAGTAATTGTTTTATGAAACGTGTCAAGTAAATTGAATTTCCTATGTAAACAAACAAAATGTTGTTACATATATTGGAAAACTGGCCACTCGGCCAAAATGAAACAATGTGTATACATGTAACAAACTTCTTTCGTTTCGGGTTTTCTATTTCTCTTAAATTGATTTTCTTCTTTTTCTGGTTCGTTCATAGATGAACACGGTAAAAATGTATAACATAAAACTTACTTGACCATTGTGCATCCATACGACAGCCGCTATATCTAAATCAACTTCGCAGTTTAATTTCACCTCGGTGTGTTGTTCTGTGTAAACAATCGTTGTTTCGGTCGCATGTTCAACGTCGTCAGCATTTTCGCCGTACGGTCCGCGTATGATTGGTCGTAATGGCAACATTTTCGGTGGTTCATCGTTTACATACAAATCATCGCTTTTCGTTAAACTGTTGAATTAAATGGAATGGTTGAAAGCGTCGTTCGATGTTCAACCCGAAATTGAAATGACGGTGAGTGGGTGTTTTGATAATAATTTCTGCAATCTAAGCCAAAAATAGATTCATACCTATTATTGCTATTCCTAAGTATATTGGTTTCATCTTTAAGATTATTGTTGTTGTCATCATCATTTTGGTTATCGTCGCGGTTGATTATGCTGCTGCTGGCACTGTTGCCACTAATTCGGCTGCTGCTACTGCTATCGAATTCATCATCTTCGCTGATGTCAAAGTCATCGTTGCCTGTAAATGTTGTTTTGTTGTCGTATTTTTTTTTCTTTAGAGTGTTGTATCAATTAAAAGGGCATAATGAAAAGAGCCCTCACGATGGCATTTAGCCTTTCATGTTCAACAAGCATAAAACAGTTTGAACTGCACCATAATAACGACATACATAGCACAACGACCAAATGATGAAATATTGAGTGACACAAAACGAAACATGTTGTGCGAGACGAGCGCGCATACATTCGCACACACAGAGAGAGAGAGAGAGAGAGAGAGAGAGAGCGAACTGAGTTGAAACAATTAACCATTTGCAAGGGAAAACTTTGGCAATTTGTGTGTGTGTGCTATATTCGCACGATAGACATGCTCGTTTGTTCATTCGCAAGCGCCAATTTCCATCAATCGCCCCAAACGACTCACCGTACTCAAAACGCAATACACGACAGCTTTTCGGGATCAATGAGACAGAAAGAGAGAGAAAGAGAGGGAGAGCGAGCGAGATGCGTATAGCATAAAATTGAATATAAGAAAATTGCTTGTTGCTAATAACAATAATTAACGCAAATTAAAATAAATACGCTTGAAAAATTTATTTGATAATAAATTGCCGGTGAGGCTGGCTGAATCTCTTTCTCTGGTTGAGTGAGATTGGGGTTGGTCGTGTGTGCAAAACGGTGGAAAAATGATGAAATACCCATTTACCATCTGTAAACGTACCCGTGTACGTACATACGACAGATAGAGAGAGAGAGAGAGAGAGAGAGAGAAAGAGACGTGCATAATTACCTTTGACATTGTCATTGCTAAAATAAAGCATTTGTTCATTGGACGATACATCCGAAATGGCAATATTGTCGGCTGTTGCTAATCCTTTGGTATTGCCGTGACGATTTTCACCGAATGACAACGGTGGCGGCGGTGGCATGGCTTTCACATGCTGGATATTTTTGATGAAATCGTGTCCAGTGGCAATGCTGCTGCTGCTGCTGCCACCGCCGCCGCCACGACTCAACGTCTGATGCTGATGCTGATGCTGGTGCTGGTGTGGCTTTAAGTTCATCAAGTGGTCGACACCCAGTCGATCGCTTTCCGCCGGCGAAAATCCATGCACTAATTTGTTTGGAATACCTGAAAAATGAATGAATACCAAATTAAATAATTAAATTGAAACTGTCAAATCATTTTTAATGAGAGCTATACGAGCAAAACTGAAAAGCGATAGAAATGGAATGAATAAAATGTGAAATTTGTACAAGCTTGTGCTCCGTGAATCATTTCCCAATGTCAAAGACAAAAACAAACAGATAAGTGGAGAAGAAAAATTGCATCGGAAGTTTTCCGTTTGTTTGGCCATAAAATCTTTTATGAAGTCATTATGATAAGAGATGACTCACATCCACACACATATATAAAGTTCTCGCTCACTTTCAATTTCTCTATTACTCTCTCTCTCTCTCTTGTTTGCTCCGCTTGTGTGACATCCACATACAGAGAAATGAGCAAACAAATGTTGTGTTTTTTTCTTCTTCTTTCGTTCATTTGAACGAAAATGCGATGCTTCAAACTCAATTGAAGTTAAAAATGTCGAAATGAATGTGCATTTAACGAAACATTTAGCATTTTGCATAAATGTACAAGCCATTCGAGATGAATATTTACGGTTCGGCCACTTTGGTTTAACACTTGGCGCTCGAATACTGGTGACTGCAGTCTTGTGTTTCAAGCCAAAAAAAAAAAACTTTTTGCTGTTGCTGCTACCGCCGCTACTTGTTCCGTTATTCTTGCTCTTATTGTTGGTGTGTTGCAGCCCACTTTGCGGGGCGTTTTATTTCGATTTCGTTTGAGTGAGGTGATCCGTAAGTATCGCAATGTATGTTTGTGTTGCGAATACGGTTTGAAAAAGAAAAAAAAAACGTTTTTGCAATTGCTACGCAATTCAAACTGATACTTCAATTTTCGGTATGTAGATATGGCGAAAAAGACTCAAATTTCAGGTTGCGTCAATATAATGAGCATTTTTACATTGCAGTTTGTTTAAATTTCTCGAAGGAGGCTGGACGGTTGCCAGCTAGTCACCCCATATACATTCCATATACCAGAATATGGTACACACACACACATAACACATTCTGTGTCTATGGCAGAGCAGTAAACAATTTTACATGAGATGAAAATTGGGTCTTGATTTTTCAAATCGGCTGCTGTTGCCGCTGCTGCTGATGTTGTTACTGTTGCCGTTACCGCGCCACCGTTTGACTGTGTGCCAAAATGTGGTGAGTCTCGCAAAATTGCATATTCCGTTCCTACACATTTGATGTGAAATCGACGCTTTCATGCATATCTCACTATGTATGCGGTCTCCTCCGCTCTTCAACGTATAACCTCCCGAACGGAAATTGCACGTCGTAATATTAATTACTCAAACACCAAAAATCAGGAAATGGTTACTCGTTTAAATGTGTATGTGAGTGTGTACGGAAGGTGCAAAAGCATATTTTAAATTGTAAATGAAAGCTTTTCGGCGCCAACTAGGAATGCTCATGTACAACTTGCAGGCTGGCTCAAATTCGGAAAGATTATGCGATAATTTTCGATTCTCAACCTTTTTTCCGCTTTTGAATTTCGAGCTGAATGCCAAAAATTTTGGTCTGGTTTCAGTTTTCTTTCAGGGCATGTTGTTTTGTTGCTCTTGTCGATGGAATGAGACGAGCCAAGTAGAGAGCTTATGCTTTGATCAAGGCACTCGTTTTCTCTAATTTCCCAATTAACAGCCGTGTTTTACTTTCAGACGATTGCAGAGCAACATTTATACAGTCATTCGGAAAGAAGTGTTAAGATCTTTCTCGCTTGCTCTCTCTCTCTCTCTCTCTCTCTATCTCTCTCTCTTTGATGTTGGATGGATGCACGACGATGAAATTTTATAATGTCCTAGACCATTTGATTCTCGCAATTCAAAATGCGTACTTTTTTGTCAATTCTTCTTCTCCCTCTCACCGTATCCCTTTATTCTCGACGTCAAACATTCGTCGTTCTCTTCTTTCACAATATGTGATATTTGCTCTTTAATCTTTGGGCGTTTTTTTCGGGAGGGTTAAAATCGCTTCGAGGAAATCTATTTTCTCATTTATTCGTCAGAGTCAGGCTGCTATGGCCTGAATACACTTCAAAAACTTCATGTGACATGTGACACTTATTCGCTACACATATTTCACATAGTTCTCGTTCGTTTTTTTAGCACTACATGAAATGTAGAGCTACTAATCTGCTTTTTTTTTTCTTAATACTTTTTGAGTGATGAAACGAATTATGGCGAATTTGAATTTTATGCTCATATTTTTTATTTAATTTAAAACAGGTGCACTAACGACAAATAAGTGCATAATATCACAAAACGCCAATCAAATTTTTATTTTCAAATGTTGTTTAAAAATTACATTAATTTTTCGTGTAATATTTTCTGTGTCTTGAACAGAATTAAAGTGATATTAGATTCTATGCTCGCTCATATTATTTATTTAATTTAAACCAAAGGCAGTGTATTTCAAAAAAGAAATAAAATCAAGATCTTGTAATTCATTTTGCAAATAAATATATTACTTCAAAGTTACTTTGATGAAATACATTTCATGTAGTGCGCCAAAAAATAGTTTGTTGTGAAACAACAAAATAGATTAAGTAACTATAAACTCAAGAACGCAGAGCGGAGCGAAGCGAAGCTCTGCGGTCTTGTTTTTGGTTGTTTGTGTGTGTGTGTGTGTGTGTCTGCCACCCCAAAATCCTCTTTGAATATTTGCACATAATTCCTCGCTCTGCAAACGGGTTCAGAGCATTTGGTTCAACACATTCAGTAAGCAAAACACGCCTCAAAATACCCGATTTTATATAATGACCAAAATAGATTTGAATAAAAACACAATAAATTTTCGGAACTGGAATACATTTTCGGGTGTTTGTGTGTGTGTGTGTGAGTACGCGAGCGAGCGATTGTTGTCATTTTTTTCTCTCTTTCTCTCTCTCTCTCTGGCTTGCGGCACTCATTTCCATTGAAATGAGGATAGTTTCGTTTGCATCTTCCTTATCGAAAAAGTCATCCTGTCACATTTTATTGCTTATTATTGGAAGTTTTTGTCACTTGTGCTACGCAATATTGTATTGCATTCTATATACTGCATGCACATTTCATGCAGCATGACACCACCACGCAATTGCACATAGAGCAGAGCCAGTGGAATTCTTCTTTTTGGCTGCATTTTCACAGCGAAAACGATCAAACTGGTTAGGCAGAGAGAGAGAAAGAGACAGACAGAGAGAGATAGACAACACACACACAGAGGGAGAGAGCATCCACTCGAATGAAACCGAAAGAATAAGAACACAAAACAAAAAAGATGCACAATTCTTTGTCACAGCTTGAAAAATATGCGGACAAATGAACGAAACCGTATTTTTATTCGATTTTCGGAGTTACAAAATGCGAATTCTTGTTAATGCAATTTCAATGGAAAAAGTTTTCTCTTTACTTCGCTTCTGCACTCGCTTCAATAATAATACAATATTTTAATCAGTTAATTTTGCATACATTTCTTGTGTGCGTATAAATTTGAATGTGTTGTCTGTCAAGTCGTGTTGTTGTTGGCATTTTTATGCGAATTTTTGCTTGAAACTGAAAGCTCTCGTTATAATATTGATTTCAGCCAACCGTATCGATGCATGGGATTTGAAATCGAAGAACATTTTTGCTATGCATTTTGCGATGGTGGCCAATGAATGTAAAATTGGCATGTGATTTCGCACGCGCGCGTTCACGCTCCCACACACAAAACCCTGATAGAATATTATCTAGCGGACGAAATCAAATAAATTGTCAGAAAAGTGTAGTGGCACGAGCTTTGTTCGGTCGAAGTGATGCGAAATGACGGTGGTGGGGAGGTGTATGAAAATGAAAACTTTATACCGAACCGGAAAAGTTTCTATGAAAAATTGAACATGAATCCGGGGATTTTCTCTCATTCTTTTTCCCTCTTGCTCTCTTGCTCTCTTCACCCGCTTTCACTCATGCTCATTCGCTCACTTTTTATTCACGTTCACCATTCGTCGTTCGTTCGACATCATCGTCTTCATTCTTATTTCAAATAAGCAGAAAATATTATTAAAATAGTTTAAATGTTGAGAGTGCGCGTGCGAGCGGAGTTCGCTCTCTCTCTCTCTCTCTCTATCTCTCTCTCTCTCTCTATCACACTCCGTTCCATCCATACTATGTATATACATACATTTCGATCGTTCCATTATTCGCATACAAATTCGGTTTGCATTCATTGCTCATACCATTTTATTTATAATCATTTTTCTCATTTTGTCGTTGAAACTATTTTGCATTTCTTGTTGTTGAAGCGTGTGCAGGTTTTTACTTTCGCTCCTTTTCCACACCCCGAGAAAAGTGGATCGATTCGTATAAGAAACGTGGAACAAAGTACATGAGGAAACGAGAAAAAAACACTTATGCATTCTTTTCACATCTTGGCGTGCATTGGCACACATCTGCACATACACACACACAAATACACCATGAACACTGTGTGTACTAGACTTAATTTATCCGACGTGGAACTAACGAGTTACTTACAGAAAGAGAAAGAGAGTCGTTCCATCTGCTTGCAGTATTTTGCATTCAATGTGCGGGGGAATCAAATATACTCTTAGCAAAAATTCTTAGGCTCTGTATGTGGCTGGTTGAGCCACGATTCCGATTGAAAGTATGTTGACAGTGAATGTGTTTGTGTGAAAAGAAAGGAAGTTTGATGTGCATGCACAAATATCGATGGAATTGCTCTGTACCCAGATGATTTTGCCTCGAAATCTTTTATAAATTGACGACATGAAAAAAGAAACAAAATCGCAGAATGTGGAACCACGACGATGACTACGATGACGACGACGACTATTACAATGGTGATACCGGCAGAAAAAAGCATATCCAAACATATGCACATTTCTCTGAATAAATCACGTTGAAATTAAAGTCAACGACAAAAACTATTGTCTGTGAATTGTATGAATTCTTCAGTAGTTGAATTGATTCACATCAGTCTCGAAGTTTCATCGTCATTTCGCACTTTTCTCTCTCTCTC